CAAAAGGACAACAGAAAAAGAAATCAAGGCCCTCGTAAACTCATCGGATGAAAAAGAAAACTGAAACACTTTCACTTTTATATAATGGTTTTATCTGCTCGGAAGTGGAACTTCAGGTTGCTTAGGAAGGATGCATTGTCTTGTCCCTAAATTACAGTGGTGAGGCCCACAGATGGTAACAATGCCTGCATCTCTCTACCAAGTCAGAGAAGCAAGAGAGTACAATTTATGCGTTGCAGTAATTAGCTAGATGGGATGGAATGTGCACTTGGAGCAGCAGTGTGGGAGAGTTTGGCAACACAGAGAGAGGTCTGAATTAAGACACTGCACAGTCCTGACCTGAATGGGGGTAGTGATGAGATTCAGGAAAGCCACACCCTAAAATCTCTCAGGATATATCTAGTAGGTCAGTGTTTCCCAAACTTGACAATTTTAAGGCCTGTGGACTTCAACTCCCAGAATTCCACAGCCAGCAATGCTGGCTGTGGAATTCTGGGTGTTGAAGTCCACAGGCCTTAAAATTGTCAAGTTTGGGAAACACTGTAGTAGGTTATAGGTTATAAGATAGATTATAACTTTAGTTTGGCAAGATTCCATCCACTAGGTGTAAGCAAATAGCGGATTAAAATTGATTGTATTTCACTGGGTCATTTCTTGGTTTGGACTGATAATTAGACCGGTGCTTCAATCCCAGCAATCACTTTGTCAAAGAACCTGAGCCCTAATAACATAAAACCTCAATGTCTACTTTTCATGCTGGATTTATTAGACATTCTGCTATATTCATTATTTATTATGGTTCATTTTGTACAGTTTAAAAGTCCAACAGTGCCATTGGCAAACTTTATTTATTATTTATTAAATATTTATGCCACCCATCTTCCCTGAGGGTTACTCAAGGTTATTCCGGGCAGCTTACAAATTATAAAAAAAGGAAAAATAATAATTAAAATATTAAAAACTACAGTTGAAAATATTGTTAAAAAACTGTAAAAAATATTGCTGTATATGCGGTGAGAACTAACTGTGTTTGCTGTTTTGGCAGCAGATGTCTTTTAAGACAAAATCCTGATGAAAGGGAGCTAATGAATGCAAAATATTATTTAGTTTGTTTTGTGAGTCCAGACTTCTCAGAAGCTGCCTCACTCATAGATACTGAGAAATGTTTTGTTAAGATCCTTGACAAAGTTCCTTGACCTTCATACCCTTAATGGGAAACTGCCTCCTTCTCACATCTGTTCTGCTCTCTCACACAAATAGTCTGCACATAACGACAGTAGCTGATACTGGAATTTCTATTGCTAAGCAATGTAGTCCTAAAGTGAAATGACACATGACCATGCCACTTAACCACAGAAATTCTGGCATTTCCAGTTGCCAGTAAACTAGTGACATTAAGTGCAAATGTCACACGATAGCTAATTGCATCCTCCTACTGGCTTTCCCATTGAGTTTGCTTGTAGGAAGCAAGCAAAGAAGGTCGCAAATGGTAATCACGTGACCGCAGGATGCTGTGACTGTCATAAGAATGAGAACTAGTCATACATACTACTCATAATTTTGAAGGGTTTTGGGGTAAGGGAGTCAGGTCCTACTTTTAGATTCAAGCAGTAATCCTAGGCCCCATGAATGGAGATAGCATCTATTAACTTATATTAATTGGTACTTAAACGATCAGATGAATTAAAACTTTTCATCCCAGGAGATATAGCAATAGCAATAGCACTTAGAGTTATATACCGTTTCATAGTGCTTTAAAGTCCTCTCTAAGCGGTTTACAGAGTCAGCATATTGCCCCCAACAATCTGGGTCCTCATTTTACCAACCTCGGAAGGATGGGAGGCTGAGTCAACCTTGAGCCAGTCAGGATCAAACTCCTGGCTGTGGGCAGAGTTTGCCTGAAATACTGCACTATAACCACTATGTCACCATGGCTATAATAATATATTTTATTATTATATGAAGCAAGAAAATGGGAAGGGGCTACTCAAGTGCACATTTTGGCTTTCAAGGGTAAAAAAAGCCTTCCCGTCTGCTTCCAAAAAACATGTAAATGCTGTTACCCATGAAAGTTTACATAACTTGGAAGTATAGTGCAGAATTATTTAATATGAAATAGAAAGGAGGGTTTTGTTGCAAATTATATTAGCAAAATTAAAAGAAGATGCTGCTTAATTTCAATGGAACATATGGAGTCACTGTTTGAGCTTGGTTATTCATCAGTGCTCTCTCAACTGGGCTGTTCATTTGAAGCATCATGCATTTTTGTTTAGACTAAAGTTTTCTTACGAAGAATCTGGAAGAGTCAAGATTCATTTTCTCTTTAATGAAAGAGAAAGATTGTGTAGATTTGATTTTCATCACATAGATTTCTGTGTAAAATACTGAGCTAATTCACATGACATATTAAGCCCCTTTGTAATTGGGTTCATGTGTGATCCAAACTTAGAGTGGGGTTAAGGAATATATCTTAAATTGTATCTGTGATTTGGTTTTTCTTTGCTTACTTAAACATAGCATGTCCAAATTATGGTTATTCCATAATGAAATACTTCATAGTTGTCTAAGAAATATGGCCTCAATATCATTGTTTCTGGGCTCTTTTTCATTTATGAAGCTATATAAGGCATATTTAATACACACACACTCATATAAACACAGAGGCTATAAATTCTGTAAGAATGAATGGCTCCTACTTAAAAAAATATTTTGGATACTAGTTACAGAAAACCTATTATCAGGAAAGATTTAATCACTTTTTAATACAATTTTAATAACTCTGATCCTTCCAACCTCCGGAGATCAGCTAAGAAAATTATATAGATCAGGGGTGTCAAATTGATGGCCCCTAGGCCGGTTGCATCATCCAGAGGCCGCACCCACCCCAACCCCGGCAATGCAAAAAAAGTCACAATCTGTTGTGACACGTCACATGACACGGAGAGTTTGACAACTGTGATATAGACGGAAGAAAGTTGATGTTAAAGAGTATATTTAAGAGATGTGTTCTCTGTTGATCTTTGAAATGTTCTTATATTGGAGAAATAAGAAGATGGAGCATTGCATTTTCTGTTCTTTTCCATTTATTATTACAACTTATGTCGTATTATCTGTATTATTGTATTTTTTATGTTTGTAAATTGCACTTACAAATTTTATTTTAAAAACAATTTAAAAGTATTTGTTTAGAAGTAGAGTTAATAAGAAAATTTTATCTCTAAAATTAATGCTGGCATTATCCCACGAAGGAGTTGGCCATAGCACTAGGTAGAATGAGGTGGGCACTTCAGTCAGTTCCTTCTCCTGCTTTAGGCACCAAAATATAGGTATTCCTTGACTTATGACCAGTTGCTTAGCAACTATTTAAAAAGGTATTTTATGACTCAATTTCTAAGTTCCAATAACTGCCCACACCACAGCTGTCATATGACCGAATTTTAGGTGCTTGAAACCAGCCTGTATTTATGACCATTCACATAATCACGATTTACGATGTTTTTGCCAAAAATGGGCATTTACTTTTGGTTTTGGCAAGAATGTCCCATAGACAATAATGGGTTCTCTTATTGACCATGGGTTCATTTAACAACCATGGTGACTCACTTAATGAGTCACTTACTACTGCTTTATTAATGTCACGACTTACAACCAAACTGGGCAGGGTCCATAATGGTTATAAGTCAAGGACAACCTGTATCATGGTTGGCCAGAGATAATGTGTCCCTTGACTTGAGGAATGAAGAGGGCACCATTTGCAACTTCACTGCAGGGATCAAAATGTTTGAGCTGACCTATCATGAAGCAATATATCTGGCATGCAGATACAATTTCTATTTTGAGGCTCATTAAAAAGTTTTGAAGCTGATTAGTGAGTTTTTGCCCTCATTATTGTTTTGGAACAACAGCTGTTATGAAGCAGATGGCATTCAAGCTAAGAGTAGAGAGAGAAAAGAGAAAGGAGGATGCTGATCAGATTGTCAAGGAAACGACTAAACTGTTACTTTAAAGCCAGCCTCTGGATTGCTCGTGCATGAAGATTTTCCTTCAGTATGATGGCTGAATTAAAATTGCTAAGAAGCGGGGGAAACCGAGAAAGAGCACCATTGTGGACTGCACCAGTCTTTTCATTTTTCTCTGTTAATTATTTTAAACTTTCCTCACCAATGTTAAGCAAGTTGCATATTCATGCCTGCAAAAATCTGATAACAAGCAGAGGTTTGACATTTATTTCTCTGGGGTATTTTAATTTGGATTCCAGCATTAATCAGAGTGTTGAACTCAAGACTTGATATGGCTCTTTACGACTCTTAAGAATCTATCTTTTCAGCTGGCATTTCCAGTCATGTGTCAGTTAGCATTTAATTTCATCTCCCCTATATTTGCCTCTAATGTCTTCATTTCCTTTTCCTTTTATTCTGCTGATTTTTTGTTTTAGACAACAGTGTTGTAAATGTGTGAGTAGGACTAAACTATATAGAATCTAGTCATGCTAGGCACATTGTCTGTTATTATCACTACATCCATTAAAAGGAATGCAGTGGCTCACAAGGTTAGGACACTGGGCTGACAATTGGCAGGCTCACATTTGAGACCCAGTTGCTGCCGCAGGATGGGGTGAGCTCCCGTCACATGCTCTAACTCCTGCTGACCCAGCAGTTCAATAGTGGGTGTCCGTGAATAGATAGATTGGTACCACTTTGGTGGACAAGTTAATGGGGACATGAAAGGAGCCCCCAACCGGGTGGTCCCTGGGAAATGGTGATGTCATTGTTGAATCCTTTCAGTGCTTCGGTGCTCCTAATGTGAATATAGTACTATATCCATTACAACATCCCTATTATTCTTGAAAGAGGGGACCTCTGACTGTAATTTCAGACCTTTCCAGTAGTAGTAAAATCACCTATTGTACAGCACGGTAAATGAACTTCTTCCATTTTTTTCTTAGTAGAATATCTTGCAGGTTTTCACATTGAAATATCTTAATTTTATTTTTCTTCTAGTGCCAACAATATGCCAAAGCAGGTAGAAGTACGAATGCATGAAAGCCATATGAGTCCAGTGGAACATCAACCGAAGAACCTCTGTGTACGACTCTTGCTTTCACTCAGAAAAAATCTGCTCCTTTCACTTACTGTATTTGGTAAGTCAACCTGAGAAATAATGTATTGGTCTAATTAATTAATGGATTAATATGCCATGTTCTGATATCCCAAGATACCACCCTATCTGATCTATACTTCTGCTTTCTCCCCTTTTCTTTGCTATGCTTAGAACTCTACCCAAAACACTTGTGATGCCTCTCTCGTGTTGAACACCATCTTTCCCATGACTCCTTTGACACATCTTTAGTTTGCTTGTATATTGTTACTAAGCCTAAGAACATATACTGTATTTTAGACTCAGTTAGCTTCCCTATTTTACTTCTACTTCCCTTTCTCTCTTTGTCAGCTATTCAAAGTAGACTAGACTAGGAAACTAAAGTCATGCAGACCAATGCTACTCTTATTATAAAATTATTGTAATATAATCTTACAAAACAGAATGCACTGAAATTCCGGTCCTATTTACTGTAATTAACCAAAGATTGCCTGTACGATTAATATTGTTCATTTCCATCATATTTGTAAGTGGTTGCTATCTGAGGCACTTGCTAATGAGGAGTACCTGTATATAGATAAGAAAGAGAAAGATGATTGCAACAAGAACATACATTTGTTCCAAAAGTATAATAATAAGTGATTCAAAATATAAAACATCCTTATGTACTGTAAATCATACTGTAAACCATCAAATTTCATGAAGTTGCCAAGAACCATAATTTAGTTACTTACTTTATTTGTTTATTCAATTTATATACAGCTCGCTCAGTGCATGATCAGGATCAAATCACAACAATAAATTCCACTAAACCACATAATAGAAAATTAGAAAAGTATAGAAACAGAAACATATAAATACGCACCATGTTAGTGGAATGTGTTTGCTTTTTCCCAGACATGTCAGCTTCTTTCTAAACATCAAGGACTTATTGGTTAATCTTGAAAAGGTAGAGCAGAGGTCTGAATGGGGATTACAGCTGAACACAAACTACTTTTTAAAATTCTTCAGCAAATTTGGATTTGGAACAATTGGGTGGGGAGGGAAAATTCTACACAGTGTTTTCTGAAACACAGATCTGTGAAAGTAGCACATCATATTGGAAAAAAAGATTAATGGAAAGAACTTCTTCATGATCTTTTTGAGATTTATTTAAAGCATGAAATCCATAGGAATTTGATAGCACCTTTTCAGATGAGGCTATTTTACTAAAGGGCATAAACAAAAAGGAGTCCCTGTGGATTTTATTCCACTAGCTGTTGCTGACTATAGGGGGCGGTGCTCATCTCTGTTTCAAGACCATTGAGCCATCATTGTCCAAAGACATTTCTGCAGCCATGTGGCCAGCATGATGTCATAGAATGCTGTTAGCTTCCCACTGAAGTGGTACCTATTTATCTACTCATATTTGCATGCTTTTGAATTGCTAGGTTGGCAGGAGCTGAGGCAAAGATGAGAGCTTACCCCATCATGTGGTGCTCGGGTCTCAACCTGGGCTGCCAGTTTTCCAGTCGATGAACTCAGCCTCTTAACTGCTGAGCTAACATGCCCCCTATTAAAGGACATAAAAATTCATGAATTGTAGCTGCTTAAAGCTTAAGTCTTTTAATAATATGTGTTCGTCTGAAAAGATGCTGCCAGATTCCTTTGGATTTTTGGCTACCATAGATTAACATGGCTCCCCTACCACAATGTCTGCAATTTGAAGCACAAGTAGCAGGGATACTGAAGAATGTTGCAGGGATGATAATCCTACAAAGTTTATTACATTACTTCCCTACATTGTAACAAGTATATCAGCCTTGAAAATAATTTCTCCAAAAAGTTCTCCTTTTTTGAGAAAATTTCTAAAGCAAATACTCTTTCTTCCAACTGAATGAGAATTGCCAGGGTAAAAAAAAAAATGCAGGAGAAATTCATTATCTGCCATTAATTTAAATCTCTTGTCTTCTGGTCATTATTTCAAACAAGCTTATAATCTAGCTTTCCCAACTGGATGCCTCCCAGATGTGTTAGGACCACAACTCCCAGAATTTCCTGTTGACTATGAATTCCAGCTGTTGTTATCCTCAAACCTCTGGAAAGTAACTTATTGGAGAATGTCCAAAGTGCAATAATCTACTGTAATGTTCAATAGCTTCTGTTAGAATAAAATATCTGTCGATTCATAAGAAAAAAAAGCAATGCATTTAATTTACCGTATTAGCACTGTGAAGGAAAAGAAAAGAAGAAAAGTTAGATGAGGAAGTGGGGATTCATGTTCTTCATGTTTCCTGCCAGAAGGCTGATGGTTTTTAGCTTTCTCTTTTGCCGTGCATTCTCGGAGACTAGACCAAGTGATACAGTGATCTACTTTTCTCAGTTGCCTTCTGGGTATAGCAGCTTCCAAATATGGAATAGTTTTGACATTTTAGTGTCGTTCCTTGGCTTCCTGCCCAGAGTTAACTAAAAAAAAAAAATTACAGTACTGTGAGAGTAAGAGCCAAATCTGTAGCCTTCACAAAGCCTTTCTTTATTCACTTTGGTCTGAATGGATAGTTGTGCTGTTTGTTGAAAAAGCTATGCAAATACTTTTAATGTCTCCCTGCTATTAAAGATTTTGGAAACTGGGTTTATTTTTACATGGGCATTTGGCTCTGATTGACTGTTGCAAGATGATTGAAAGCCTTTCCCAGGTTGATCTCCAACAAGTACGTTCAATAACAATAAAGCACAGAACATCTTTCAGTAGTTTTATTGCAGCAGTTGCTGCAATAAAGGAAGAAGGATTGCAGGTGCAATATTTTTTCCCGAAGTTTGTTTTCAAGAATGTTTTACTCTTGGTTGAGAGCTTTTGCCGATGATTTGGTTGTGACATTATCTCAACCGACAGATTCGGTAAGGGATTTGGTGGAAATCATAACCCAATATGGGAAAGTTTCTGGTTTTAAGGTAAATAACAACAAGACTAAAATACTTTCGAAAAATATGTCTATGAAGGAAAAGGATATGTTAGCTAAATTAACAGGTTTTGAAATAGTGAAAAAGGTTAAATATTTGGGAGTTTACATTACAGCTTCTAATGTTAAGTTGTACAAAAATAATTATGAGACATTATGGGTAAAAGTGCAAAAGGATTTAAGTGATTGGAAAAAAACTACAGTTATCTTTGTTGGGAAGAATCTCAGCGGTTAAAATGAATGTTCTTCCAAAGTTTCTTTTTTTGTTCCAAATGATACCTATTTTGAAAAAAGATGCCAACTTGGAGGAATGGCAGAAGGGTATTAATAAGTTTATTTGGGCAGGGAAAAAACCAAGAGTTAAGTTTAAGATTATACAAGATGCATGGGAAAGAGAGGACTTAAGGCACCTAATTTAAAATTGTATTATGATGCGGTGGCTTTAACTCTGATTAGTGATTGGCTTAATTTAACAAATAAAAATACACTTCTTCTTGAGAGATGGGATTTATTATACAGATGGCATGCATATTTAATTTATAATAAAAAAGTAGATCAGGTTTTTAAATCTCATATTTTAAGAAACGCTTTATTACGTGTCTGGAAGAATTATTATTATAGGTTAAATTATAAAATTCCAATTTGGGGGATTCCTGGACACGTGATAGAGGGGGTATCTAGGGAAGTGAATTTGGGTAGGATTTCTTATAAGGAATTACTTAGTTTGGTAGGGAAGGATTGGCAATTAAAATCTTTAATTGAGTTGAAGCAAGAAAATATTGTACACTCTTGGTTTCAATATAATCAATTGTTAGTTAGGTGGAGTTTAGATCAAAAGGTTGGTATTACTTTAGAGGACGTGAATTTGGTAAAACAGATTAAAGATCAAACTCGAGCCCATATAAAGAGAATTTATAATGTTTTAATAGAATTGGATTCTGAAACAGAGTTAGTTAAAGATTGTATGGTAAAATGGGCACAAAATATTCAAGAGCCGATTCTATTGGACACATGGGAGACAATTTGGGTTAGAAATGTAAAATTTATTCAAGCTCAAAATTTGAGAGAAATTTTTTATAAAATGTCTTATAGGTGGCATTTGGACCCCCAAAAGTTGTCTTGCATGTATCCTAATTTGCAGCCCAAATGTTGGAGATGTGGTAGTTTGGATGCAACTTACTTTCATATTTGGTGGACTTGTAGAAATATAAAAGCTTTTTGGATTAAAATTTGGTGGAACATTCAAAATATTTTTAAAAGAAAGATAAAGTTTACTCCTCAACTATTTTTGTTGGGTATTATTGTAGATTTTGATGTTAAAGAAACTAATTTGATGTTGAATTTAATAACAGTAGCAAGGTTGTTGGTAGGGCAATATTGGAAGAAAGATTCCTTGCCGACTATAGAAGAATGGACCCTTAAGGTCTCAAATTTAGCAGAAATGGCAAAAATTTCGTCTTATTTGAAGGACCATTCACAAGAGAGATATATTTTGGTTTGGAGAAGATGGATAGATTATATTCAGAATAAATATGGGACTAAAAAGTTCCATTTACTTTATGAATAAATTTTAGAATATTATTATTGTTATTATTATTATTAATAGTTTATTGTAGTGAAATTTTTATTATATTGTATTGTTTATGAATTAGGATTTAAATTTGTTTATATGATTAAGTTTATTTGCAAATTGTTTATTCTGTGTTAAAGGGGAGTTAAAGTGCATTATATTTGTTTATCTATATAGTTGGTTAATGTTAGTTAGATTATGATTATTATATTTGTTACCCTGTATTCAGCTCTGGGAAGTGGGGGGGAGGGGGGAGGGGGGTGGGTTTTGGGGTATATTTTGTAATTTTGTAAAACTTTTTAATAAAAAAAAGTATGCTTTACTCTTTTTAAATATGACTAATTGTGACAGCCAAATGAGAGGGGTCTAAAGGTCACCCCATTTTTTTTCCTTTTCCACAAAGAGACAGTTAATACAGATTGGCATTTAACTATTAATGGAAAATTGTGTGTGTTTGTGTGTGTGTGTGTGTGAGAGAGAGAGAGAGAGAGAGAGAGAGATTTGACCAATTAGCACTGCCTTTCCTGTGGGTAGGTGGGAACCTGGGAAAGCCAAGGGAAATCATCAAAACAATTAAAAAACGAAAATTAGAATATTTCAGACATGTGATGTGACACCCAGAAAAATACGGCATACTCCATTTAATCCTCTAGGGAAAGACTGAAGGCAAACGAGGTCCAGGCAGAAGAAGAACACCGTGGCTTCAAAATCTAAGGGATTGGTTTGGACAAAACTCAGCAGCACTTTTTTGTGCGGCTTCTGATAAAAACAGGATCACTAACATGATCGCCAATGTCCGATAATGGATATGGCACAAGAAGAAGAAGAAGAAGGCATTCCAAGCTCTTTGAGCAGCAGTATTCAACTCATTCCCCTCCCCAAAACAGAGAAGTAGATTGTGCAAGATATAAGTTTTGTATCTTGCTGAGCTCATCAGTAAGGCCCCAACCTTATTTACCAAAATTGAGAACTGTTGACTGGTTATGGTATCCTTATCTTCCTTGTTGGAAAACTGCAAGATAATTCCACAAACTGGGTAAAGACTCATATAATTATTCAGATTATTTTCTCCTAAACCTTCCTTCCTATTATTTCTTTCGGTACATTCAAGGTGTCATTATGGGAGCATTATGTGGAATGCTCCTTCGCATGGCAGCTCCTATTAATCCTGATGTCGTCATGTTGATAGCCTTCCCCGGAGATATTTTGATGCGGATGTTGAAAATGTTGATCCTCCCTTTAATTATTTCAAGTTTAATCACAGGTGAGATTATGAACGATTGGAATTTTATGTCCTGTGATAAATAAAGGCCTATAGGATACTGCTGATAGCTCTTTGGAATTTAATAATTTTTCTCAGTACTAGCATATCTTTGATATTGGAATTAGTACTTTATACTTCTGTTTATAAAAACAGATGATAGTTTATTTCTCATGATCTGTACTAGGTAGAATGCTGAGACAGTGAATGGCAATTCATTAATAAGAATTAGGATGTTAGTTATTAATTTTTAATACCAATGAGTGATATTGTTTCCTCACTATTCCTTTCTCTGATGTTCTTCTCTCTGTTCAAACACAGAGATTCCTTTTGAGTTCAATTATTGATGACTCTAATGACATAGAATTAAAGTGAAATTGCCTCTACTAATCTGAGATTATCGAAAGGTATCATGACCTTAGGAGGACTACAATATCTAGGCCACAAACATCTATCTGGATGACCACTGGATAGGAGCAAAGAGTTTGCAGTTTCTATGTCTCCTTGCTGACATCTAGTGATCTTCTGAATATTTGCAATGCATATATGGTAGGTCTACTTCAGGGCTGCAATCAAACAAAGCACCTCGAAAAAAGATATCACATTGTACAAAAAGAACTTGTGTGAATCAATGTTCCAGGTATATATAAATAAAAAATATAAGTCCACAAACCTATAGGCATTTATTTAGAAGTATTTCTCACTAAATACAGTGAGACTGATTTCTGATGAATATACACAGGTTTCTTATAAATCATGGAGGATGAATTAATCAGTGGAATGACTTGCCTCCAGAAGTTGTGGGTGCTCCAACACTAGAGGTTTTTAAGAAGAGATTGGACAACCATTTGTCTGAAATGGTATAGGGTTTCTAGCCTGAGCAGGAGCTTGGATTAGAAGACCTCCAAGGTCCCCTCCAGCTCTGTTATTATGTTACTTTGATTATAATTTAACTAATCGATCTATATACTCATCAATATACATCAATCATTTAAGATACCTTAGAGATTTACAGTATCTAAAATTAATTATTGTACATATTTATCCATGATAATTTTCTAGAGCAGGGCTTTTCAACCTTTTCACCCATTGTACCACTTTTAGGATATGGCAACATCCAAGTACCACCAGTCGCCTAGTAAGGTGTCAAAAACTTGATGACCCCCCCCCCAAAAGAAAAAAAGTGATGAAGTACAGGTAGTCCTTGACTTACAACAGTTTGCTTAGTGACTGTTCGAAGTTACAATGGCACTGAAAAAAGTGCCCCCCAAGCCACAATGGAGCAAGACACCTGCCTGCCCACCCAGCGGCGCTCTTCCTCCTTTCGGAGGTTTTCATTGTTGTGAGCATTTCTGTTGAGGATTGGCAGTGGAAATGGGGTGGGGGGGTGTTTGGTTTTTATTCCCCCTGTCTGCTGGGTGGTTGCAGCAGGTTTTGGTCACTTCACATGACCCTGGGACACTGTGACCATCATAAATATGAATCAGTTGGCAAGCATCTGAATGTAAATCACAAGACCCTGCAGCATTCCAGCTGATTGGCGCTTCTTCTGGGCTCAGCAGAAGCACCATATATATAGGTATACACACACACACACACACACACACACACACACACACACACACACACACATTTAATGGTTGTAAAAATGCGAATCCCGGGCATATTTGTTCAATAATGCAATCTTCGATCTCCGGGGAGAGTATAACCTAGTTGTTTATTGTTAAAACAATATTTAAAACAATAAAAACAGTTATATACAAAATTAAAAACAATTTAGCTTTCGCTGGTCCTCTTGCCAGCGTCCTCAGAGTGAGGCTCAGGGGGTGGGGAAGTTCTTTTTATCCCCTTGCCGATCTAACTGCTTGCTCATTGCTCGTGTGACAGGGCCACTCTTCCTGATTGCCTGTAACTGCCTTAGTTGCCCTGCCCTCTCTTTATTGCACTCCAATTTTGCATTTTTCTGCTCTGTCATCCTTGTCCAGCCTCCTCCTCCCTGTACTGTTGTTACTGATATACTCTCCAATCACTCTTTCCTACTCTTTCCTACCGGATAGGAAGGTGTACCCCGCAATGAGTAGGAAAGAGTGATTGGAGAGTATATTATAATATTGAATGAATACACACACACACACACACACACACACACACACACACACACTGTAATATTATAATTGCCTGTAAAGTATACAGACTGGTGAAAATGGCCAAAATGCAACAGCAAGAGGGTATACTTATTTGCACAATGCTAATCACAAGAAGCACTCTTAGTCATTATTTAGGTTCTCAATAATCAGGAAGATACCATTTGTGTCTGAATTCTTGCCAATTCAATTCTTTTTACAGGGCTGTCTGGACTAGATGCTAAGGCCAGTGGTCGATTAGGGACGAGAGCTATGGTATATTATATGTCCACAACAATCATTGCTGCTATCCTGGGAGTGATCTTGGTGTTAGCTATTCATCCTGGCAATCCAAAACTCAAGAAGCAGCTGGGAGAAGGAAAGAAGAATGATGAAGTATCCAGTCTTGATGCCTTCTTGGATCTTATTCGAAACTTATTCCCTGAAAATCTTGTGCAAGCATGTTTTCAACAGGTAAAAACCTGCCGGTTTCATACAGGAATATGCATGACAACTGTGAAAATAACCTTAAATGAGATAAGATAAACAGAATCATCACTGCACATGCCACTTGATTTTACCAATTTGATACCTTTATACTTAAAACATACCTAAATGATAACTGACAGAGTTTCTGTTTGTATCTTTATTGGCTAAGTTGCTCAGTCTGCAAAAAATCAATAAATTTATGACTTCATTTCTGGTGAAAGCCATCCAATTTCCTCTAGATACTGATTTGTTTTATTTCTTTGGGATCTTAAAAATCTGGATCTTGTTACTGTCAAAATTATAACTAGAGCTCACTAAAAAAAATAGAGAAACATTTTCAATAAATGCCAAATATTTAGTTTATTCAAAGATTCAATAGACATAAACGCATTTGCCTAAATACAGCCAAAACTGCTTAACTTTAATATGCTATATATTTGATTTCATAAGAATTTTTTTCTGTTTTTAATCAGGGATACCTTGTGGTTTTTTGAACAATAATATTTATAAAATCTGAAAGGCTAGGCTATTCATTTCAGTATTCTGAAACTGTTAACAAGGTCAGGATCATTAGTGCTGCTGCAAAAAAGTAAATGGATGCAAAAAGTAAATGGGGAAACAGTAAAGAGCCAAGTGATTGATACCCGAAGACTGAATAGTCTTTGGTGAACGTAAGGCCTGAAATGTTTTGGGATGAGAAGGATGGCGAGATTTCTCTATTGTTGCTTACTCTGCTCATACTTAAACTGGGGTGGCTTTTTCCCGAGAAAAGTACAATAGTATGACTTTCCACAGCATATATGAACTGCCTTTTTATTATCTATACTTTGTGCCATACTTACCAGGAGATGCCCTTCAGCTCTTTCCTCCCACTCCTATCCTGTTAATTTGTTTAGCAGTTACATGGATTATTTTATAATGAAATGGACAAGGCCTGTTGCCAACCTTTTTCAGTTGTCCCTGAAGGCATCAGTTAAGGCAGGGGTTCCCTGGTCCATGGACTAGCACGGGTCCGTGGCATTCCAGAAACCAGTCTGTGCAAACAAGCAAAGCTACATCCATCACAATGCGGGCAGTATGCGAAACCATGCCCCCTCTCGTCCATGGAAAAACCTCTTTCCACAGAACTGGTCCCTGTGCTCAAAAAGTTGGGGGCCGCTGACTTAAAGAATTAAAACAGTATGTTATCTGACTTGTAGCTCTAAGCTATATTTTCTGCCTAGAGCAGGGGTGTCAAACTCGCAACGTCATGTGACGTGTCATGACATATCACGACTTTTTTTCCATTGCCGGCACTGGGGTGGGCACGGTTACTCCATGACGCATCTGGCCCATGGGCTGGCAGTTTGATATCCCTGGCCTAGAGGATAGGGAAGGGGCAGAACTATCAAGACACACAAATTCCAACAGGGATGCCAAAGTGAAGATGACAACTGCAACAAGGCAATGAAAACTGTATCTGGTATTTATGCATGTCCACATATAAAAAAAATATTTTTTTCCTTTCAGTACATTATATTTCATTGGATGCTGAAAAAAATAATAGGCTGAGCAGGAAATTAAACATCAAATACGCAAGTTTCTTTTTTAAGTTTTGAGTGATTCTAATATTAAGGAGCATGATTTTCATATTCAAAAGAATTGCGTAGAAAAGAAGTATAGGAAAAGGGGAGAAGTGATATCCATTTAAAATGCTAAACTGGTCTTCCCCTTTCTAACTAATTGCATTTGACACAAAGTGAGTAAACCATTTGGCTGCTGAAAAACTGCATAATGAGATAATAGGCTGAGTGGGAGGCAAGGCAAGCTGCTTTTTATACTGTATTGGCATTATCACTCCTTTTTTAAAAAAAAATGTTTGCTACTCATAATGTTATATTATTCTTCCAAACAATTCATTTCAACTCTTTCATTGCTTCACTATTTTGCAGATTCTTATTGATATTTTAACCCATTAGCACACCAGCTTTGATTAATGGATCTGTATTCACATAATAAATTCTCCAAGCATCGAACAATTAAAGTTAAAGCAATAAATGAATTACATAAACACTTAACAGTAAGAGTTACAGTAATACAGAAAGCAAAACAAATCCTACCAAAAAGGAATATGAGTCAATCCAAGAGAAGACACCACATATAAGGAACAAAAAGTATTTTACAAAGGAGACAAAACTTTGATTTGCATGACATAAGATAAATGTTTTAGAGGAAACTGAAACTGGTAACAGAAAGAAAGTTAATTAAATTTTTGAGAAAATACAGCATTGAGTAACTACATGACAAAGAAGGTTCCCTTTTGCTCTTTTAAATGCTGTAGAAGATTTGGAATGAGGGAGCATATGGAGAAGCAAAGATCAATTCAAGGCACAAATAACCACATGTGTGAATGTCCTTCATTATAGTTGTGTATTTCCCTAGGTGCCATTTAGATATAGGTCATTCTACCACCACCCCTCCTTTGTATTTTTAACCAGATCTGCTTGTGGTTTATAAATATTTTTGGATTCAGACTTTAGTTATCCTCATTGAATGTTGTCCATAATCAAAATCTGTGATAGTTTATTCCAATGCCCAGCCAGATTATAAGTGCAGTTCCTCATTTCTTTACTGAAAATGTAGCCTTATTTGTTGTTTTCAGGGGAGCAAATAATGAGGAAATAATATTCCAGAAATACCGTTGCAGTCTATCCCCATTTAACTCCAGAATTTTAATTATTTAAATATTACAGAAGCAAAATCATTTGCAGTGAACATCATATGAAATATGCTTTTGTATTTTAGTTACGACTGTAGCTTGCTTACCTCTTTTCTGATACATTTTAAATAGGCTGGACACATGCTGCTCCTTGACCTATTTCTTATTTGTGAAGGTGTAATCTAGTTATGGTATCTGCAGATAACAACACCTGTCTGGCCCTGGAAGGTGGCTTGGGATATTGGATGGGACACCTTCAAAGAATATCAAAGTTGTAGGCCAGAGTGCGGAATTGAAAGTCAATCTAAAAAAAGGCAGCTGTAAGCCACTTATATTCTGTTATCAGGAATATAGTTATTGCCAAGCTAAGTCCAAGAATGTGGTGGAACAATTCAGCCAGTGCTTTATTTGTTTACACCCAACAGTCAGAATCTAAGCCTTTAATATCCCCAGCATATAGATATACCCTGGAATATATTAGGGAATGGCTAGCATTACTGTTTTCCTCTGTGTTCTATCCATTTCTGGGCTGGGCTACCTCTTGTCTCCTCCTATTTCTGAGATGTAGACCTTCCTTCCTGGGAAAGTGCCATTTCACTATAGCCCATCACACCAACTCCTCCTCTGTAGGCACCATCTCTAACCATTATGCCCATGTAGTCATAGGGGGTCAGTCAAGAGGTTGCTTTTTCACTTTCTGCTTCACCATACTTGTAGTGTTACTGATACTTAAAGAAAAACTTCAATAACATAACAGAAGGAGAATCAGGTCGTAGTTTTCAGAAGTCCTCAAATGGCGTTTTTGTTCTTATTCACAAAGTTATTTGCAAAAATAACTGCCATCTTATCATCATGAATTATATAAACAGTATCGAGTGACTTTTGGAGTTTTCTGAAAAGTAATGAAAAGTAAACATAGAGGTACCCTTGCTTTATTTATTTATCGTATTTGTATACCTGCCCATCTCATAGGAAATGATCCTTGGGTATACAGCTCTAAATTTGAAAAACCCAATACATACATAAAAGCAGTTACAATTATAAACCGAGCCATAGCAAAATCTCCTTGGGACTCCGAGGCCTGATAATATAGCCAGGTCTTGAGAGAGTTGCAGAATGTTGAGAGATAAGGCTAATCTCACTTCTGGGATTACACATGTCAGGCATTAGAGCAGAGAAGGCTCACCTCCTAGGACCTGCAAGATATAACATATTAGTTCAGTTAAAGGGACTAAGTTCTCCAGTGTCTATAAATTGAATATTGTCCTACAACATTTCAAGGAGTACTAGCTAGAATTTGGGATATAAAATGTGTAGTGAACGAAAACAGTGCATTCATTACTGACATTTTAGCCTTCACTCACTCTAAAATAACCAGGAGAGCAAGAGAAAAGAACTGCTACACAATAGTTCTATTCTGTCTTTGTGCTTCTGGTATAAAGAGTAGACTTCTGAAGATCTTCTATCCGGTGAAAGTTTTTCTATGCAATGAAGAACCTAGAGCCATGAATATATTTTAAGAGTAAGCACTGATATGAAGTTTGAAAAACAGTACCTAAAAGGCAATTTCTAGTTGCATTTTCATTCTACATTTTATTCTTTCAGATTCAAACAGTTACCAAAAAAGTGCTCATGCCGCAAGAAGTGGAAGAACCATCTAATGTTACAGATTCTATCTTTACCATCATGAATGAAACAGAAGTTACTCCAGAGCCTCAACTTATTGTTAAGAAGGGCCTTGAGTTTAAGGATGGAATGAATGTCTTAGGTATTCTCTCTGTCTTCAGACACCTATTAAATTTATTTCATAAATATTGTTCAGGCACAACTGCAGACAAAAAAAGGAATTGCTGCTGAGAAGCAACAGTATTGGATAATATCAGACAGTTATCAGCTGTGCTATTAAAGGTGGGGAGTTGCAGGGGAAACACCCAAAGTCCTTCTGAACTGGACAAATCACACGTATCAATTAACAAGAAGCATTTGAATCAAAACTACACTTAATATGCTATTTTTTTAAGAAGTGTAACATATATATTCTAATGTATTTATTAAAGGTCAGGTATTGTGAAATCCTGCCAAGGAGAATCTGAATAGGATAAAACTTATCTTTGGTCTCCAATCATTTTTTGTAATAAGCAATCTAAGAGACAAAACTGATGTTTTTAAGAAGGCTGAATCTACTGATTGGAGGATTAGGTTGCTGACATCAGAAATGGAACTTTATCCCACTTGACAAAATTAGCTAGTTTCCATTTAAGGAATTTCACTTATTCTCAGGCACACCTAAATAGATTAGACTTGTTTTCAAGCTTTGATCCTCCTAACATCTTATCAGAGGCCAAGAAAGTTCTTTCTGAGACATTTTTTCTGCAAACCTCTGAAACCAAGACTCAGTTCAGTTATATCGGAATGAACATTAAGCAAGGAACTTAAATTAGAATGTCTTTGCACTATCTGTATTCCCAAATCTGTTGTAGAAATTTCCCCTTTTTCTGGAGTATATTTAGGAAGTGGGAGGACTGAATCAATTCCATCATTAGTTTTTGTATTGTTTAGGAATTTGTAGACAGCTTGGTATCATTTCAAAATAATTAGTTTCACAGACATTTTCTTATAGCCCTGCTCCAATTCCTTATGAGCTTCTGCATCAGATTCACAAGGATGTTAATGAGATGAGAAACTAAACTAATCCTTGGCTAAGAGCCACAGAGCAAAGCTATTCCTTCAGCTTCATAATCTGAGAATGCATGGCCAATTAGGACTGGATTTCTTCAAAATAATATCTCAAATCCTACATCACCCAAATCTCCCATAACTAAGGTCAGAAGTACAGGATATCACTGAGTGGTTAAGAAAAGTCAACAGAGGTGCACAATGTTTATTGAATTATATGCTATGTATTTTATTTTGGGGGAGTGATTAAGGCATCAAGCTGTAAATGCAGACTGTGAGCTCTAATCCCACCTTGTGCAGTTTTCTTGGCAAGGTTTTTCAGAAGTGGTTGCTATTGCCTCCTTGCTAGTACTGCCAGAAACTGACTGGCCCAAGCTGGCTTCAGGCCAAAGTGGAAGGTATGTGTGTGTGTATATGTGTATACACACACACATACACACACTATGCATCAGAATTTATCTAAGGATAGTCAAGGAATGCTTTGGGATGGAGTGCTGTTATCACTATTAAAAGGCACTTCTGTTTTTAAACAGATTATTAACAATAACAAATCTTATTATTGTGTTTCCCTGAAAGGAAGACCTACCCTGAAAATGTGCCCTAACTTGATTTTTGGGGGTGGGCCTAATATAAGCTCTACCCAAAAAATAAGCTCTGGTTTTGGGCCAATGCACACACCTAAAAATCAAGCTGGGGTGGGGGTGTGGAGCTGCCCCATGCGCCCCTTACCCACTTACCTTGCAGCCAGGCCTCTCCTTGCTGGCCCGCTTCTTCTGCAGCGTTCCCAGCCTGCATTTTGCAGTCAGAGACCTTTCTGGAAGGCCACTGCAGCCAAGAACTATGGATTCAATCCATAGCTCAGTTCTACAAGGCCTCTGTGTCCTTGTACTGGCCTTCCGGCAAGGCCTAACTGCAAAATGCAGGCCCATGCACCATTCTCAGTTGAAAAAAAGCTGCTCCTTCATCCTCAGAAGAAGTGGGCTGGCTGGGGGGGGGTCTGTCAGTGCCAGAGGTGAGTGGAAAAGATACCACCACCACCCGAAAATAAGACCTGGCTCCTCTTTTGGAGGCAAAATAAATAAATAAGACTGGGTCTTATTTTCAGGGAAACATGGTAACAGATGTCTAAGAAAAAAAAAGACAAATTTATTTTGACAGATATATATAGGAATATTCCAGATGGAATAACAATTCTTTACAAAATTCTGCACTGTGAAGCTTCATTTAAAAAAAATACATTACCTAGAATAGAGCAAGGAAATAATAACAGTTGCTGGAATCCATATGAGCTTCCATGCAATGGAATGATAATGCAAAATCAAAGGAAATCCTGCTTATTTGAGCTATGCCTATCTTGTTTTGTCCCCAATTCTTCTCTCTAATTGTGCCCCCTCTACAAAATCACAGATTTTTTTAAATCGTAAATTGAGGTTGAAGAATACAGAAAATTCCCCTTCAGAAAAATTCACAATTTTAAGAAAAGTTTCATAAAAGAGTCTGACAGTAATATTCTTTCAACAGGCCTCATTGGATTTTTCATTGCTTTTGGTATTGTAATGGGCAAGATGGGAGAACAAGCCAAGATGATGGTGGATTTCTTCAATATCTTGAATGAGATCGTAATGAAGTTAGTAATTATGATCATGTGGTAAGTTAAAGTCATCATCTATTAGATACTCCAAACCCTGTTCTACCTTTGAAATCATTTGGAATTTGATCAGTAATAATACAGAGAACTTTGTTGAGCCAGGCTAAAAGTATATATAATCCAGGAGTCTGGATTACAAATATGTCCAGGAATTTCTCAAGCAGGATATGATGATAATGATAACATCTTCCATTCATGCCTTCTAGCTAATGATGATGAAATAATGTTGTCATACAGACCAGATACTGTAAGCCTGTCCTTTGTTCTGCCAAAATTGCCAAAATGTTTGCACTTATGTATTTTATTATATTGGATTGAAACTACTCTGTGTGTGTGTGTGTGCGCGCGCGCGCACACGCACGCACTTTCCAGTTTTGTTTCCAGTTTTATAGTACAAAGTGCTCAGAAGAAAACACAGAGAGGAATTATCATGGTTTCTTTTTACAATAAGTAAGCAGACAGAAGTTTGTGCAAGTGTGGATGGAGTTCATTAAAAGGTGAACATGGGCTATCGAGAATATTTCTGACTGCTACATCATGCCACACTATATAACATTTTAGCTCATTAAAGAATCCTAGTAGACTATCATTTCATTCTTCATAGTTTCCTTGCTTCTTGAAGATGATTAGCAGCATCTTGGAAGATGATTAGTAGTTGTGAGCCTGGTTTTTAATTTGGAAAAAAATCAGTCTACTGTTCATTTAAAATCTATCCAATTTGACTTGGCTCCTGTTCAAAGAAAGATTCAGGAAATCATGTGCAATACCTCTTACTAAGGAGCATGGAAAACTCACATCTGGTAGCTACTGTGCTGTAGCACCTCCTCTTCCTCCTCAGAACAAAGGAGTAAATTCAAAGATTTTGTAGCTAGGTTTTATTACATTTATTTGCATTTGAGCTAAGTTAGATTACATAATAGTGTCTGCTTATGGCAACCTTTTGAAGCACTGAATTGTACAGAATGTCTGTGATTGTTGTTTTTCAGCTCTAATCACTTTGGAGGCCCTTCTTCATCTTTGGGGAGCTATAGAGCTAGTCCATAGCAGTTGATTCATGTCTTGGTCTAGCAAAATGTAATACTTAATTTACTGTGTGATGCTCTAGTTTTTCCTGTACCAGAACTGGATCTTTGCATCACAGTTATTCTCACATACTGTTTAGAATCCATTCTAAGCTGCTAATAGTGATTCCACAGCTTCTAGTGTCATGGGGATTTTACTCATGAATCTTGTTTATTTATATAGGCAAAATGTTTATTGTATGGCGATAAAGATATTTGTTTTCAGATCTAAAAGATACCTTCTGTCTAATTATTAATAACTGTTCTTTGAGGAAATGTTCCATATTTACCAGCACTTCAATGATTTATGAAACTCTTATAGACTCCATAAAAACATAAAACAACGTTGAACATTTAGTAAGGATTCTTTAAAACCAGATTGTAAGGATTATCTTCAGTGAATATTTCAGGAAAGAGACTATCTGGTACATTTGGAAACAGTGCTTAAAACAACATAATTGAGAGGCTTATAGATTCCTGGTTGATTACTAGGATTCTTTATTGAAGGATCAGATGTAAATCCATAGTTTCAGTTTAGTTCATAGTAAAATAGTGAGGATGTGACATGTAAGGGCATTTGTGAAATTCCAGTTTCCAGGAGCTGTAATAAAAGCATTAGTCTTTAAATAACAGAATATTTTATTGCCATCAAAAACTACCATGGCTACTCTTCTATAATTTGTTATAAAGATCTGATTGAATATTTCCCTACTAATACTAGTAGAAGAATGCAAGTAGGTAAAGAGCAAGCGAAAGATAGCAAAAACAATGTGTAAACAGATAAGTAGACTGAAAATGTTGAGTTTAATTTTCTCATTAGCAGCATTATATTAGGCAAAATTATACAGACTTTATCCTTAGCAAACGTATAAACAATAGTGAAGTAGAATGTGTAAGTTCAAGATTTCTGAAAGTGAAATAAAATTCTAATTGTAAGAGGGAATTTTTCTATTTTTAGTGCACTTGATTGTTACCAGATGGATATCTAATTCTATTCCATACTTTTTATTTCTTTCTTCTAGGTATTCTCCATTGGGAATTGCCTGCCTCATTTGTGGAAAAATCATTGCAATCAAGGATTTGGAAGTAGTTGCTCGACAACTTGGCATGTACATGGTAACCGTGATTGTAGGTCTTCTCATCCATGGAGGGATTTTTTTGCCTCTGTTGTATTTTGTAATTACAAGAAAAAATCCCTTCTCATTTTTTGCTGGAATCTTTCAAGCATGGATCACTGCTCTAGGCACAGCTTCAAGGTATTTAATAGAAAATGATGATGTTTGCTAGAGATGTGTCTCCTTTCGCAGGACTACCTTTTAAACAAAATGGGTGGGAAATTCAATATCATGATAAAGAATTGTGCCCTGAAACACTTTTATCCAAGGCGATTGCCTGCCAACTGCAAGATTGTAGACTGGGACTATCAGAAGGCTTTGTTAGTGTAAAAAGTGCCCCAAAAGTAGAAGGTCAAAGAATTTCACCACCAAAACTGGGTTCAGTCTGATTTATATTGATGAAAGAGATTGGGCTGGACCTGTTGTAGTTGACATCTAGCTTGCTCTGAAGACTCTACTTTTTCTTTGAGCTGATGGGGACTGGATTAGGTTTTATTTTTAAGTGTCCCTAGTCCATTGACTGGGTGATATACAAACTGTGCAAACAAACAAATAAACATATAAATGCATATACATACATACATACATACATACATACATACATACATACATGCAGAATAATGACAACGGGGTCAGCAACATCAAAGTATTGCAGAACACATTTATGTGTATCAGTTCAAGAACATAAAACAGCCAATCATCTTTGCAAGTTTCTCCTTTGGGCCGAACGTTGTATTAACTTGTTGCGTGCCTAAAGAGTGGCATATGGGGACAAAATTAGAAATGCAGAAATAAAATAAACTATTTCATGACTCATGATACTGTCTCCATGGAATCATATACAGTGTGTCTGTAATATGTGAGCTACTAGTTTATACTGGGTCCAGAAAATAATACTTGGCCCCTACCTTTATTCTTGGTCTATTCTTTCTGTTCTGTCCTGTCCTGTCCTTCCCTGTTGGACTAATTGTAGTCTGTTCTAATTCTAGTCTGTTCTGACTTGTCTAATGAAGACAAGGACTGGGGGGTGACATGCCTTCCAATATTTGAGGGACTGTCACAGAGAAGAGGGCACTGCAAAGCACCTGAGAGAAGGATAAGAAGTAACGGATGGACGCTTATCAAAGAGAGATCCAACTGAGGAGAAATTTCCTGTCAGTGAGAACAATAAATCAGTAGAATGGCTTGTTTCCAGAGATTATAAGTGCTCCCTCACTGGAGCTTTTTAAGAAGAGATTGGATGGCCATTTGTCTGGAATGGTTCATTCTGCTTGAGCAGGGGGTTGGATTAGAAGACCTCTAAGGTCCTCTCCAACTCTATTATTCCGTGTTCTACTTTTTCCCTTACACTGAGTTCTATTTTCTATTCTGTCTCATATGTAATTACTTAGGTAGCTACAATTAGAGATAGGAAATATGACCGTTTTGGTTTCTCAGAGTTCTTCACTTCTGCAAATCTGCCAGGTTTGGTTCATCAGACTGGAAAATATTTTTCAGAAGATGGACAGTTAAGTGCACATTTCTTCAAAATGTAATAAAAACACATTTATGTTATTTTCAAGTTCTTTTAAGTGTGACAAACACGCATGAATGTAGACAGATGCTTTCCCTAATTTTTAAAATAGTCTGCATGCACCAATTTAAAAGCTATGAATATTGAATTAGAACTATGTTTTGGTTCATCTGTTGTCCTAAACAAAATGTGTCCAATTGAGTGTTTCCACCTTCTCTAGCTACATCATTGGAAAATACTATTATCATCAAAGCAAAGTATTTATTTTAGGTAATGGAGGGGTTAAGCATTTCTTGGTTGTGAGCATGTTTATAAACAAGTTATTTGAATCTCCATAATGTTCGCTGTGATTTTTTTCCTTTTAAACATAATCAGAAGAGATACAGGTCATGGAGGAAGGAATGTCTATGGGATAAATATTAGATTGATCAATCCATTTATGTTCTTATTTTGGAAGTGAAGCTAATTGTCACCATGTTACTTCTTATTTTATTTCTGTCCCCTGTAAAAAGAATAGGGAGGAAATAACTGGAGAAAAAACTGGATACCAAAATGCATGATGATTTCTCCATGTTGAAATGATGCCAAATAAAATGAACACTAGATACTGGCATTTTTGCTTATCTAACAATTACAACTTAAACTGGAGTGTGGAGGCATTTGAAGGATTACTTTACAAAGTGTTTCATAAAGGGTTTTGGTATGAGTGAAGTGCCTCTCTTTGAAATGTTGAAGCACCCATGTCCCAAAGGAACCTTCTGAAGTTCGCTTTGAATAATATGTACATGTCTTCACATCTACTTCACTTCACCAGAGTTCCAAGTACAGTGTTCTATATACATGCACAGACAAGCTGGGAAAGACACACCAAGCTTTCTGGAGGACATAGCTGCCTCTATATTACAAAGAGGAAGTTCACTTGCACCAACAAACACTTCAAAAGTTTTGCACAGCTCTATCTAGTCGAGGTTAACTGTTTGCAAAAAATGTTAAGCAGGATTGGACCTGAAAGTTTTTGGATGGAGATTATCGATGGATGGACATTTTCATTTAGTCTTCAGGAAGTGAAGAACCTGTTCCTTTACTAATAGCCACTTTTAAAGGATGATATATAATCATCTAGCCAGATCTTTTTTGTGTTTCGCTCAGTTGAATTCTATACTTAGAGAAAGAATATTTATTGCTGGTACCTGAGGCGGAATTGTTTGGACACCTTGGGAACCAGTTAAGATGTTGGAATAGGACTAAGAAATTCTGGTTCAAGCCACCCTTGAGTTATGAAACCTTAATGGCCAAGTTTTGTCCCATCACTGAAAAGCTTCACTCAAAATGTGTAAGTTTCTAGAGTAGATGAACAAAGTTCACTGGGGCACTGGGAGAGTCCTGGCTAACAATGTGCTGCCAGATAATACCATGAAATCAGAATTATTATTTGTTAATTATATGAAGATACATTTGGTGCAATATCATCAGTGTGCTGCTGATTCTCAATTGTATATTAACCTCCAGCCAACCAAGTAAAGCTATCAAGGTTTTATCCCAATGTTTAGAAGCTATGGGGTCTGGATGGAGAAGAACAAACTTCTGCTCAGTCATACCAAGATCAAAAACTTTGAGCCCATAGGCTTGGAACTGGAGATACTTCATTATTGATTCTGGATGAGTCACTGTTCTGCCCAGATTCAGTGTACAATTTGGGGGTCCTCCTGCTTGATGAACAGATGGCAGTTGTGGCCATGGGACTTTTGAGTAACTTAATCTTGGATGCCACTTGTGCCTGTTCTTACATTGGAGGTTTCCCCTTCCAGTCCTACTTTCCTTAGTCACCTCCTGGTTGGATTATTGCACTATACATGTGACAGCCTTTGATCCAAAGGCTACAAAATGCAACAGCATAGATAGTTATGAGCATTCCTGAACTATACCTATGTCACACTTCACCAGTCATCTTGTGTAATCCAGGAAGCATATCTTCTCTGTGCCAATGTTGCCCTTTGGAATAATGTCTCCTTGCTGACATATTATTGGCTGCAACCCTACAAGCCTTCAGAAGGATAATTAATAATTGTCTTTTCCCTCAGGAAGAGCAGAGCTCCCATTTGGTGGAGATAAAAAAATGTTAACTTCTGATAGCTATTTCATTGTTTATTGTTTCAGTTGTATGCATTTGTTTTTCTTTTGTATTTTGTTTACTATTTTTTGTATGCTGCCCAGAATCAGGCTGAGTTAGGCAACTGTACAAATGCTTAAAATAACAAAATAAAAGAATTCATTTTCCTTGACCCTTCAGTGCCGGTACATTGCCTGTTACTTTTCGCTGCCTTGAAGAAAATTTGGGCATTGATAAGCGTGTGACAAGATTTGTCTTGCCTGTTGGAGCCACTATTAATATGGATGGAACTGCTCTTTATGAAGCAGTGGCTGCCATCTTCATAGCACAGATGAATGGCATTGTGTTGGACGGCGGACAGATAGTCACTGTCAGGTAATCTATTGGGGTTGGTGGAAAAAAAATGGTATCCCAACATTAAATATTGTATTGCAAAATGATTTACATTTGGAAGTACATGCTAGTCTTTACTCATGCCCAGAATCTGTAAAAAGTTTCCATTTCCATCATAATAAGAAGTGAAAAAAGCTCTTTCCAGTTTCTCCATTTACAAACAAACACAGGCAGTCTGATAGCCATTATTTTATATTATGTTAACACTGAGCATGATTTTTTCACTGTATTAATTGTAAATAAAAAAAAACAGTGAAGGGCCAATTGGATAAACTTAAACGAATCACATGTTATTTTAATGTTAGAACAATTAATAAAAGAATATAACTAGGGAAAATGGTTTTGAAAATGAACATATAGGCATGTTACAGGTAATCCAAGCTTAATGATGGTAACTGGGACCAGAATTTCTATCACTAAGTGATGTGGTCCTAAAGTGCACTGTCATGTGACTGCATCCAGCAGTCCCCAGTTACTGTCATTAAGTAAGGATTTTACGTTATCATGGCTTTTGATTTCCTGTTGGGTTTCCCATTGACTGTAGTTGTGGAAGCCAACAGGGAAGGTTGCAAATTGTGATCATATGCCATGGGACACTGTCATGCTCAGAAATCTGGGCTGGTTGGTGAGCACCTGGAATATGATCACATGAGTACAGGGGTGCTGCAATAACCAGAATTTGAGGGTTGTAAGTACTACTCACTCACTATGACTTCAAATGGTTGCTGAATAGGTGCTCATTAAATGAGGGCCCTTGTAATAAAAGCACTTGAAAATATTTTGATTCTGATGGTGGCTTGTTACTGTGTTGGATTGTACCTCCCACCATCTCTAACCATTAGCAATGCTGACTTGAACTCTTCAAGAGTATCTAGAGGGCCTCACCTGTTCTAAATTCAACCAACTACCTTTAATATAAAATTAATAGATGTTATGAATTTATAAGAAAAACAGATTGGGTCCAAGTCTATCCATTTGTCAGGAGAAAACACTCCTCTTTAAAAGTTTGAGGAACACTGCTGAGCAGAGTTGTGAAGTGTGCACTGTGATGATAGTTCAGAAGAAACAAGTGAAATATTTCCCATGCATGTAGAATTGTACAGGTAGTCCTTGATGTATGACCACAATTGAGCCCAAAATTTCTGTTGCTAAGCGAGATTTGTTAAGTAAGTTATGACCTTTCTTGCCACTACAGCAAATAACTGCAGTTGTTAAGTTAGTAACACGTTTGTTAAATAAATATGGCTTTCCCATTGGCTTTGCTTGTCAGAAGAAAAGGTGATCACATAACCTGCGACACTGCAGTCATCATAAATGTGAACCAGTTGCCAAGCATCTGAATTTTGATCATGCAACCATCGGGATGCTGTAAGGGTCATAAGTGTTAAAAATGATCATAAGTCCCATTTTTCAGTACCACTGTAACTTCAAATGATCACTAAATGAGTCAAGGACTGCCTATATTATTTTTGAAAAGATAATAAATAGACTCCATGTTTGTACAATTCCTGTATTATATAAGCGGGCGTGTTTCATTTTACAGTTTGACAGCCACCCTTGCCAGTGTTGGAGCTGCAAGTATACCGAGTGCAGGACTGGTGACCATGCTTCTTATCCTCACTGCAGTAGGACTTCCCACCCAGGATATAAGTTTACTTGTGGCAGTAGATTGGCTCTTGTAAGTAAGACTGTTTTTATGATATAAATCAAAATAATGATTGATTATCCATCTGATAGGGTATTAACTTTTGCCTTCAGTCACCTCCTCATGATACACTGAAAACTAGTGTTTAAGATCTCAGACGGGTAATAGAGATATCCATGGTCAAGCTCCTATTGATCAGGGAATTTCCTACATGGCTAAGGAACAGTCAGACACTGTGTCTTAGCTCAACCCACTTCACAGAATTTGATTTTTGTCAGAGCGTGCACAGTCTTATTATGCTGAGATAACCCAGGAGTAAACACAGTAAACAGTGGTTTGTATTAAATGGTGGTTTATCTTACACTATCTACAATATCATACACCAGGAACAATATACATACACGTGCTAATACAGCAAACTCCAATACACAGCAGTTACAGCAGGAAACGGACAAGAGACACTCCAGCAAAACCTTCCCTTTTATATTCAGGCTCTTAAAGGGATACACAATCTAATGAATCATTCCTATCATTGCATCATCCATCTTATATTACATTACATCATTACATCTTCTTATCAAATAAGCTGTTTGGCTGTTAAATCATAACCTTGACAATTTTCAGCACTCAAACTAAAAGCAAGATGTTTACATTATAAAGGGGTTAATGTCATGTATGTGAATTGTTTCTGATATCCAACTGTAAGTAATATGTACATGTTGCATACTATTACTATTAATTGTTATTATAATAATATAATGTCTTACAGCAATAGTACTTAGACCAGCGGCTCCTAACCTTTTCTATACCCCGCAATCCTAGAACACTTCTGATATATTCTCGCACCTCTTACAAAAGTTCGAAATAACGGGAACGAATTATGCATATACACTATAATTTTGAAAACCCAAGTTTTCGCATCCCCTGGAATATTGTCTCACACCCCTGCCTTAGACTTACAGTATATACCACTCCATAGTGCTTTACAGCAGGGTTTTTCAACCTTTTCACAGATTGTATCACTTTTAGGACATGACAGTATTCGGGTACCACCAGTGCTTAGCAAGATGTCAAAAATTTGATGACTAAAAAAAGGGGGGGAATTTTGGCTTTTACTGATTAGATTGATTTGTTGTTATAGAAATGGCTAGTTTATACTATTATGGAAAAGTAAAAAGTTGAGTTTTGATGTTAATGCTTCATTCTAGTGCAATAGAGGAAGCCCCAAATCAATATCTTTCCTTTTTCCTCTTATCCCCCTCACTTTTCTTTCCCTTTTTCCTCCCCACTGTGTCCTACTATTTGATTTTGTATTTTATTCTATAATCTAATAAAATGTTACAAACCATTAAAAAAAGGAAAAAAGTACCGGTTTTATTCCTTCTTTTATATCCTCTCCTTTCTCCCCCTCCTCCTTTTATATCCTTTCTTCTCTCCCCCTCCTCCTTTTGTAACCTTTACTCTCTCCCTTTCCTCCTTTTATATCCTCTCCCACCTCCTCCTCCTTTTATATCCTCTTCTCTCTCCCCTTCTCCTTTTATATCCTCTCCTCTCTCCCCCTCTTCCTCCTTTTATATCCTCTCCCCCTCCTCCTCCTCTTCTCTTCCTGGTGCACTGAAAGCTCCGATCAGTTGGAGCTGCACGTGCCGATACTGGGCTGTCAGCAGAACCCTGGCAACACCACAGCTCCAGCCGACTCTTCCCCATGCCTCTTTGGCGCTGCCACCACTTCAGTTCATCCACTTTTACACTTTTTTTACAGTACTTTTCAACCCGTCGTATGCATACCACCTGCCAGATGCCGAAGTACCACCAGTGGTACACGTACCATGGGTTGAAAAGCCCTGCTCTAAGAAGTATGGCTTCAATATCATTGTTTCTGGGCTCTCTTTCATATTATGAAACTATATAGGGCATATTTAATACACACACACACTCATATAAACACAGAGGCTATATATTCTGTAAGAATGAATGGCTCCTACTAGAAAAAATATTTTGCATACTAGTTACAGAAAACCTATTATCAGGAAAGATAATACACTTTTTAATGTAATTTTAATAACTCTGATCCTTCCAAGCCCTGGAGATCAGCTAAAAAAATTATATAGATGGAAGAAAGTTGATGTTAAAGAGTATATTTAAGAGATGTGTTCTCTGATTTTACAGTGCTTTTCAACCCGTCATATGCATACCACCTGCCAGGTGCCGAAGTACCACCAGTGGTATGCATATATGGGTTGAAAAGCCCTGTTTTACAGCATTCTCTGAGTTTACAGAGTCAGCATAATGCCCCCAACAATCTGGGTTCTCATTTTACCAACCTAAGAAGGATGGAAGGCTGAGTCAACTTTGATCAAGCTTCTGTGCCGATTTACAATAGCAACTCCAGTTGCAGTCATTAGGCAAATCCTACATGGTTATTAGATGTTGCATCATGTTATTGCCATTTGTGACCTGATGGTTTTCCCATTGACATAGTTTGATGCTGACAGTAAAGGTCACAGATAGTGACTTTAGGACACTATGACTCATTATTGCAAGCTGGTTGCTAAGCACCTGAATTGCGATCATATGATCACAAGAATGCTGGAATAGTTGGAATTTAGACAACCAGCCACAAAATCTCCTCATTCAGTGCCTTCATAACTTCAAACAGATATCAAATAAAAGGTCATTAACAAGGACTACATGTAATAATACTGATTTGTGATTGGAACCATTCCTTTTTTAAATGGTAGATGGACAAATATTCAATCCTGACCCTGGCCATGAGCTATAATATATGTAGAATAATGAGATGGATGCTGGTTCTTTTGCAACTCTATTTTAAGGACTATAATGTACAGAAGGACTGTCAGGATTGCATTGCAACTCTTGCTTAGGACACTAAAACTACACATATGTTTGTAGACCTTCTTCAGTTGTTGACACAGCACTGTCCTATCACTGGATCTTCCTCATTGTTGCCTTACAGATTTATTTCCTCAAAAGATAGGATAGTGATGCAGCATTTGCTGTTCACTTTTTGAGCAAGCTTCTAATCTCATCAACTTCTGATTAGAAGCTTCTATGGACACTTACCATAAAATATTTAGAGGCCCTGAAGGATTTGATCTTGGCATATTTCTTCTCACTCCAACGCACACACCATTTAAAAATGCTGAAATTGACTTATGTATTGTAGCAATAAACAAGACAAGCTGATAATTAAAACACAGTGCTAAAATGTGAAAACTGCAGAGGCAGCAAGAGATGACAGAATAATATCAGCCAGTGGAACGATAAAACAGTCACTTGATTAACTATCTATTGCAGTTGAGCATGTGAGATATTCATCTGACACCAAGAAGACATTAGTATTGATGCTGTGCAATTCTCCTGGGAGGAAAAGAAAAAACATTCCATACCCTAGATATTAAAAGTTAAGAAAGATGAGCTCTATCACAAAAAGTCCTGTAAGCTCATGTACAGATAGTCATTGTTTAGCAATTGCCTTGGACAGCAACTGTTTGCAGTGATGATGATAATGAAAAAGTAACATAATGATGAATATGCCCATTTATGTCCTTTGCAGAATCTCTGTCTCAATCACAGTCACATTTTTGTGAGCCTGACCTGTTTAAAATTTCCCCACCCACATAGAGTGGAGAGATTGCCTAAATAAGCTATCTTTTCATGAGCTGCTTTTCTTCTGCTGCAATTGATCCCCCCAAGTGCTACCCACAAGTTAACAAGCTCAGCTCTGTGACCTTAATTAGTTGATTAGAACCTTTGGCCCTCTAATTGCAAGCCAGTTGCCGAGTGCCTGAATTGAAATCATGTGGCCTCAGGAACGGTATGACAGCTTGAGGACCAGTCCTTAAATCTCCTCATAGGTGGGCTGCTGCCTGATTCTGACAGATCCTATTTGATTTCACACTGAAGCTTTTTTGCTACCTAAGCAGGGCCTGACTCATAAACTTAGTGTGCTAGGAAAATAGCCAGCAATAGCCAGTGTACATTCCCTATTATGTGTCTGCTTACTCTCTTCTAATCCCTTCCTCTCCAAGGAATCTAAGTACAAACATCAATTCTCTTCCTGCTAATTATCCCAGTGCTGGCGTGAGCATTCCAAAGGTCAGGGAAGTGGGAGGGGAGGCGAAATGGCTATAAGATTTGTCCTTTTTACCCAACCTCCTTATGAGTTGAGTTTCAGAAACCATCCACATTGTTTGAGTTCACCAGGGTGTTTAGAGTTAGTATCTTTCTGAGTTTATAAAGCAAAGGAAAACTGAAGTAAGAATGTAAGCACATTCAGAGTCATCTGAGTTTAATTTGGTGACTGCTTTTTTTAGCAACCAAGTTGCTGGTTCTAGTTTCAGTCACTAAACAAAAACTACCCGTAATGCTATAGAAAAGAGATGCTCTAACAACTGGTTTATATCAAATTTCAGCCTCATTCCTATCTTCTGGGTTAAAAGATAAGAAAACAGTCCAGCTTTGGTATGAAAGCCAGCTGGCCAGACATCCTTTCTCAGCCCAATCCACCTCACAGGGTTGTTGCTGTAGAGAAAATAGGAGGGGGAAAAATAGGTGTACTTGTTGCCTTGAGTTATTTATAAAAATAATAAAGGTGGTATATAGATAAAGTAAAATATTGCTGTAGTAGGAAACAATACAGGCAATTCAATAGTTAATAGAAAGCAGCCCAAGGAAAAATTGCACGATGTAGATAGGAGCTGCTATATCAATAAACAACAGGTACGGGATTTATATTTTAAGTGCACGTTTCTATTGAAGCAAAAAAGAATAAAGCCTGACAGGCGGTAAGAGGATGTTAAACTGATATCGGTGCTTGCTTTCTTGTTCAAGGAAATATCATTTGAAGCAATGTCACTTGTCAAAACAGTTGTGCCTCTCCTAAATGGAGAGACTTCATAGCCATAATTCACCAAGGGAGCCAACCAAGCAAACTGGGCAGGAAAGGCTGGAGTTTGGGTTGGGTAATGCTGCGGTTTAACATAAGCATCCCCTGAAGCAATTCTGTGATGTCATCTTTATAGAAAAGGTCAGGTATAGCAAAGGAAGCTTGGGATCTTGAACAGGCTTAAAGGCTTTAGTGACAGGAGAGTTGTTCTGTTATTGAGAGGAACTTCAAGCTGATTCATACACCTTTTTAGACTGACTTTACATTCAGAGATGGAATGTTGTTTTTTAAATTCCTTTTTACTGGAAGGGACAATTTTCATATTTCAATGAATCTCACATGAAAAAGCCATGTTTGTACTAGTAAACCTAAGTGGTTCCAAATGAGACTACTGATTTCATCATTTTCAGAAACAACAGCATAAAACCTGACTGAGGTTTTGTTTTTCTAGTTTGTCTTCTGGTTGGCTTGAATTACCTGATATTTATATTTATGCAGTGAATAGTGTTACTGTGTACCCAGTATCCAAACTTTTAGTACTAGCAAACAAAAGCCTTTGACTAATCATCATGAGCTAATTAAAACCGATTGATTATTGTTATCAGGCTAGTTTGAATTATACACCTAAATATAATGTGATATGTAGCACTGGCTACTTCATACTTAATTCTTAGATTTTAATATGCATATAGCTTTTTCAAAATTGCTGTGTAATCATATTGCAAAAGAGATCTAAAATTTAAAAGTAGACCAAACATATTTCACTTTGCTCTGCATGAATGGGATATATGTAAACACACATATTTATAAGAATATCTTTCTAGTATTAGCAAATTGCAGTGTTCCTATTTTAAAATGCAGCCTTTATAAAAAAAAATAGTGCTATATTTTCACAGGGGAATTAATTCATTATCTTAGTAGTGGCGAAGAACTGAATTTTACAGAGGGGAAATTGACAAAGCAATGCAAACATCGTAGGAGTACCCCCAGAACAGGGATTTTGTATTTTGATAAACAGGAAAATAAGAATAGTTTTGTACAGTCTTGATTGTTAAGTTTTTGCTTCTGAGAAGTCTGAGGAAATGAATAATCTCTCAAATTTAGTACAGACATCTGGTTTTCTTTCCATTTGTCATCATGTAAATTCAAAGTTTCTGAATTTACTTGGTAAAATGGCGTTTTAATGTTAGTGGACAAATCATAAATCAAGATGAGGTTCAGCCAGTGAATGAATAGCCAACAGATGGGCTATAAAGAAAGAGCGAATTTTGAAAATCTTCAAATTAAGAAGCAAAAAATCAAAAACATATTGGAAAATTATGTCTGGTTAGTCCTTTTTTAAGTATATTTAATTATGATAGCTTTTCAATGTCTTTTTCTGAAGAAGGGTTTTTCCACCTAATCTACTAGTGTTTCATGGTATTACTGGCATCTAAAGTATTTCCATCTAATCTACAACTAAAAGTGGTTGGATGATTAATGTTCATTTTCAGAAAAACAGATGTGCTGTGATCTCCTTCTTAAATAATTTCCTTCTCAAACAATAAAATTAGAAAGTGTCATCACAAATGTCCTCAGGAAACAAATTGGCTCTAGACAAAATATGTTCTGCATAGATTCTGTGCAGCTAATGTCCTGAGTCTTACCTGGATTCCAGTGGATCAGTTCTGTACAGTGTTTGTGCAATATTCAGTCTATGGATAAGACTTTTTCTACAGAAATGCAGACATAACAAAATTACCAATCTTTCTAGGAAAATAATAAAGAAATAAAGGGTCACAGGGTGACTGACGTTGAAACAAACATTACAGCAGAAGCTAGCATTTTATAGAGGTTTTGGAAAACTTTTTAAGAGCTCTTCTTGGCTATCCAATAATTAGCTCCTTTTAAGGTGAACCTTTTTACACGTTACCTTCTTAATCAGAGGTTTCACCATTACTATTAACCAAGTTAAGAGGTAAAAATGTATTCTTTTCCAAAAGCGGAGAAATTGAAATGAAGGAATTTTGTAATTAAGTAATTGCTAACTGCAACTTCTGGAATGCTTTTTAAGAAAATATAGGATTCTACTTTATATTGTTCCTTTTCTCTTGTCATGTAAACATTCTTACATTGGGGATTCACACTGCAAATAGGCCTAATGTCCTCCAGATACATTGGATTGCAACAAGGTTAGAGCTTGGCCATTGGTCAAGTTTGGCTCTGACTATCATCACACTTGGAGGGTTGCTGAGATCTCCTGTAAATTGATTCTTTGTGCTTCAAGTCTTCCATCTTTTGGTAATATTTTCTTTGTAGAGATCGAATGAGAACATCTGTCAATGTAGTAGGAGATTCCTTTGGAGCTGGCATTGTTTATCATCTATCCAAGGCAGAATTGGAAAACATCGATGCCCATCACAAGATACATGAGGATTTTGAAATGACCAAGACTCAGTCAATTTACGATGATCTGAAAAATCACACGGAAAGCAACTCAAACCAATGTGTTTACACAGCTCACAACTCTGTCATAATAGATGAATGCAAGGTACCTTTCACATTTATGGATATTGAGACTTGCATCTAGCAAGTCATAGTATAAACTTTTTTTAAAAAAAAAGTAATAATCTTTTTTAAAAAACATGTAATAAGGACACAACTGGCTCTCATTAAAACTGTTGAACATGTGTATATTTGCTTGTAAATTTATTTTAATTATTGCAATTTTGTTTAACCTGAAAGATGCATGTAATGTTTACAACCAAAAGCATGTTTCACTATGTGTTATGGAAAGAATATGGCTTCATGTTCTATTTCAATATTTATTTGATTTTTTTAAAAGCATTTTGATTTAATTGATATGAAATAATGGATTTGTTGCAAACTATGATTGCTTCCTAAAAAAAACCCTTTGTTTTTCTTCTTCAAAATTCATTTATTTATAGAATTTATAAGGCCACCCATCTTAACCTAGTGAGTCTGGGTGCTTAATAATAGACAGTCATAAAACATCACAAAATAAATTTATAAATATTATACCACACAATACGATACAATGCAACAGACAATTGAATTAACTAAGAAAAAGATTTAAGAAGTTGTATGATGATTAATATGAAAGACAGTTAACTATTGAGAAACAATGAGCCTCAAGCAAAATGTAAAGGCAATATTATTTTAGATTAATGCTTTCCATAATACACCATACAGGCATATCTGTTGGACTTCTTAATATGTGGAAACTCACTAATCCAGGCATGTTTGTTCTTGCTTTCAGAGTTATTTTTGGTCATCATTACCATGTCAATTTTGTGCTTTGTGTTTGATCCTGTCAGTAATCATGTGAGTTAAGAGAAAGCTATAACAAGAATTGTCCTGACCAAGATTGATTTGAATTTCAGGGAACTCCAGGGTCACAAAGATTCCTGGAATAATCTTATTTTATTAATCACAATTTGAGGTGGCGATTGAATCTGGTAAAATATTAGAGAATATGAACTAAGTTTTGTTTGCAACAAGCTAGCTTAAAAACATAGATTCCAAACTGTCTTTTTCTCAATCCCAAGTAATTAGGATTAGTTACTGTTGAGGGTTCAGATGAAACAATAAATAGTGATCAGTCAAAAATGGAAGTGATTGCTTCCAGTCAGGGTGGGAAGAAAGAGAGAAGTCAGTACACAAATTAGTGATTTCTTTAGCTTGTTCAAAGCACAATAAAGCACAGTTGTCACTAGCAGCTCAAGGTTTGACTGGAGAACAGAATCCAGTGTTTTCTTTAGTAGATCTACAGCTTCATCTTTATATAGTTATGCTGATAATAGCTGATTCTGTTACTAACTTCTTATCGGCCATAGATGTCCACTGCTAACTGAAATGATGTGAAAATGACAACATGTGTGTTATGACATCACAATACAAACGATGTGCTTTGATACTTGTACCCTAATGTTGGAGACAAATATTCTATGTAACTCACATAGTTTGAGTTGTGATGATCCAGTGCAGGTTTTGCCTTTCCCCCCATCCAATCTGACATATAATCATGGTTTTAATTACACAGTAATTAAGCTTTTTATCCATAAGGGTTAGTTTTCACTTTCAAATGAACATCATTTAAATACAATAAAATTATGCTTCAGTCTAAAACATTGTAATCAGAAGATTTTATCCGTATGTCAGTTTCCATGACAGAAAAATTATGATAGCACTATCATTATGTTCTCAGTTTAAGCAATTTTTTTTTCAGATATAGGCATTAAACTACTTCTTCCATAAAATATTATCAGTTATGGTTATAAAATAACGCTACACAAAAATTAATCACTTTTAAGTTTTAGTCATTCAAACAGTGGAGCACACATTTAAGATGTTAACATTGAAATGAATGGGATACAAATGCGATTAAATGTTTAACTTGATCATCCCCAATAAAAATTAGGAAATAGCAATAAAAATGAATGCGTGGATATGAAAATTTGCAACAGGATTCAAGTTTGGTCAGCAGTTTTTGTTATTGGTCCTTGACTTAATTACTAATACAATTATTTGTCCTCTTGACTTTTTAATATTTAACTGGCTTCCTATCTTGGTAGCGCTGCACAACTATTATAAGTTTATTGGCAAGCAATATTGGCTTATAAATTGCATGACAGTTTTTCCTTGTATTTTTATTGTCACGTTTTATATTTCTTTTGATCTAACCCTACAGTATCAACTTCAAATATGAAGTGAACTTTATTGTTTTTAATGCATGTATTTTCATCTTTGTAATCAGAAAAAAAGATTGCAATTGTTTCAATTGTGAATGCATACCTCATGTTTTCATGTCCTATGCTTATGTACATCCAATTTGTCCATCATGTGGAATAATAATCTTGTCTTGTAAGGTTCTTTTTTTGAAGCTGAGGACTAGAACATGGAAGGTAAGTGCAAATAGATAAAAGACAATTATGATGTAAAGGTCTAGTTCAGTTCTAATCAGGCCAATAAGTACATTAACCCTTTGAGTTTTCTGGCTGTGTTTACGATATTACAACTGTTAAAAAGGTATCCATGGCCAGGAAATACTTTTTCAATTAACTACCTGATTATTGCTTACTAATCGGTGTTTCCCCTAGAATGTTTTCATCATTCTGGGCTTCCCATCATTTTTATCTCATTTAAAAATTTAACAGAAATAAATAAAATGCACTCTCGTCAATACTTGTTTGACTTCACTGTAACTGTACCTTTAACATGCACCAGTAATGAAAGATGTCACTCTCTTGTGGCAAATTAAGTCTCCTATTTACAGTTTTGCTATTTTTTTAATAGTGTGTGTACAAAAAAATAGCCTATCGGTCTGCTATCAGTTTTTCTCTGTGTTGTATTTTGTGCTGTAAACTTGAGTATTTTCAATAGATTTTTTTTTTTTAAAGTGAAAGGATAGAACTGAATGACTACAAAAAAATTAAAGTACGAATATAGTCAGTTCTGTAAATATTTAGATTTGCATAATTCATTATATTTCTTGCAAAAGTGCCTTGATTTTAAGCTAGGTGTTGATGGTAATTACTTTCAGGTAACCTTGGCAACTAATGGCAAATCTGCAGACTTCAATGCTGTTGAAGAAGAACTTTGGAAACATGAGAAATAAGGTGGAAACACTCCAGGTCCATCTTGAATAAGTCCCTGAAGCTGTCTTTTGGTAAAGCAGATATCAAGATCCAAGATTTTCCACTGTTTTCATTTAGCATAGAAATGTGCTTACTTAATGCTGTTAACTGAAGCTTAGAAGTGGTCTTGTGAAGTCTTTGCTCTTCTAGTTTCTTGGCCAAATAATTTATCTTATTATTTGTTTGGATGTAAGAGAGATCATTGGTTGGGTTTCTTCCTTCTGTTCAAAACATAGAAAATGTAGGGATTTAAAGAAGAAAGATTTTTAAAGGCCACAATATAGCTGATTTGCTTCAGGGATTATATGTTTAGCATTAAGTATAGTGTACATCATGCAGAATCTCCCTCCTGTTGAATATGTGAATCTATATCTTGGTGCATACTGAACACAGTGAACACGTTATACAAGACATTATTTCTGAAAGGCTTTTCATGTGCTTTATTTTGCATATGGTTTTCTTCAGTTCCCTTTTCTACAAGCTGTCTTAAAATAAGTGATCTACCTAAATTCCAGTTGTGAACTCCAGTGAGTGCCAATACATGAAAAAGGTATTTTTAATAATAAAAACTTCATCTCTCCATTTTAGCTCTATAAACAATCAACCCTTTTGAGATCAGAAGGCAGGTTATAGTTTTTGCATAACTCAGTTGGATAAATTTATGATCATGGGTTGATATCCCTGTGGAACGTCCTTCCAGTAGGCAAATTTGTGACACTGGAATTAAACAAATGACATGTTTGCACAGCTAACAATCCATGCCAGGAAGTATGCTCACTTCTCTGGGAAGATATTCAAAGTTAGCAGAATCTTAATACATCTATAAAAGCAGAAAATCTTCATATTTGTCTGGATCCAGCAGCATCGAGAAATCACAGGAATCCTTATGCAGTAGTTTATCAGACTAAAGCTAACCCAGTGCCAATAGCTCAGCATACACCCTTCTGTTCTCCCCAGTGATATCTTACTGCCTCTTTGTTGAGACTGGAGAGTGCGTCTTTTTAGGGAAGATATCATCTGCTAATTCTTTTGTTATTCCTTTTCCTCAGAAGAAATAAGCTATATTTAGCACGAATATTGCTGTACAACATCAGTTAGTTATTTAGTCAGGGCTAAGATATTTTCCTGTAAATATTAGATATCTTCCCACCCAATATGTTGAAGCTTAATTATATTAAGTAATTTGAACAAATTAGTTTTGACAAATATCAGTTCATTTCTCTAGAGTGTTTTATTTTTTTATTTGCTACGGTATTCAAAATGTGATTATTTCTTTGCCACAATGTCGTAGAAGAACAAATCCTGCAAAGTGAGGCCAATTTAATATCTGATAACTCTTTTCAGAATAGTGTTATTCTCTATAGAAATATGAAAAGATCAGACAAAGCTATGTTTCTTCTTTTTGTTCCAGTGTATTAAATAATTGGCCCTGGTGAGATCAGAAATTTGGATGTAACTCCCACATCCACATCTATATTTCTCTTTCTCTTATTTTTGGTGAACTCTATAGGCAGTATAATTTAACTCAGAAAGACAAAGGATAGTTATAAGGAAAGCACACCTCTAACATATCCTTTTCAAGTCAGGTCTGGCACAGGAAAAAAAAAGAGAACTCTTAAATTTTACACAGATGAGCACTATATCCCTATGGAGAAGTACATTTGTGGCTATCACATGTTGGTGCAATTTTTTTTTTAATGGGCAATCCAAACTGAAGCGCTTCACATTATATTTCCCCCTCACTTTGAAGTAGTGAAGTACTGACCACTAATATAAGCATAGGTTCCCTTGTATGGGTATACTTTTTGAAATGCTAATTGAAAATAAGTCACCACTCTGAGAAGGAAGCTCTCAAGCTAAAGTAAAAAGAAATTGTAATTTTGCAACTGGAGATTTCTGATATTTACACAGGAAAAAAAAGCCCTGTGTAGGATTTGGGAAAACATTTTTTTTTGGATGTTTCATAACTCAGGGAATTTCTGCTTCTTAAAAACAAAGCCACCCTTTACTTACAATCAGGGACATTCATGGGAAGGGGTCAAAAAAGTCAATATGGCCTTGTAATTAAAACCCTACATCTTTGTTATGTGCATGGCTATATAACAACATAACAGGGAGAGGTGACCAGTCTTGCTCAGCATTTGACTCCTGAGTGAATTCTAATGCTCTGTATTCTGCTGTGGTAACCAACAAATTTAACAAACTTCCACAGCTTTCCATTTCACAGTAGAAAACTGAACCTTAACTGTTATCCCACCTTCTTTATCCAGGGTAACTAGTTTCTGAATTTCCAAAAGAAAGATGCAGAAGGATTTTGCTAGTTTATAAGCATTGCTCGTTTGGGTGAACATGCTTTTCATTTGCAAATGCAAAATATAATTAACAATTCCACTCAGTATTTTTTTTCTTAGTAGTTGAAGTTTTCCTCCATATTAATACCTCCATTGTTGGCAACATTCATTATGAATGATTAATAATTAACTATTAAAATAATACTTAAGCATTTCTGCAATTTAATCCCTGATGTGCAATAATTTATTTCTTGCCTGTACAACCATGACATGTGATAGCTACCTAGAGACTCAGCAAAAGAAAACAATTAGGAATTTAATTTATAGAAAATTATTTTGCACCAGCACTTTGCACTTCGTTCAGGTCCAGTTTGTTAATTTGCATTAGCAAAGCCAGCCTTTCTTTTAATTGGGTGTAATTTCTTGATTAGATAAAAAGGGGGATCTGAACAAGCAAAATGCCATTTATCTGATATGGCATTGCAAACCTGAAAAATTCTGGCCGCCTTGAAGAGAAAAATCTTCCCATTATTCCATTCCTGGTATGGTTTGATTCATGGAGTTCAACAGAATGATCATTTGTTTTCTTTATGGTGCTACTATATGCTCCCCACTCTTTAAAACCAACTGTAAGTATATATTCATAAGACCCCTGAAGTAAGTTACAGCAGTGCTGACAAAAAAATATTACATTTGCATGCATGAGAAAACATTTGTTTTTAACCCTTTTTTATCAATAAGATCTCTTCTTAGCAAGATGCAATGTCTTCTATCTCACTTGTAGATGTTTGTTCGAATCTCTAGATACTCTTCAGCTTTTTAAAGTATCTTTTAATGTTTAACATGAGGAATATTTTTGCACTTATCTTTCACCCATCTACTGTATATTTCTCTTATTGCTAAAAATGGTTATGAAGATTAATATAAAAATCTTTATCAAATACAAAACCCCAAAAGACTGGGTCTTTCACAGCCCAGTATAGTGTGGAATGTCAGGACTGCTCTTTTATATGCATCCTCTTTACTTTTCAAAATTTTATCCCTTGCTAGTGAGGCTGATTGTGCAAAGTCAGAGAAGACAGACATTGCAACTTTGATAAACTTAAATTCAAACTATTAAGAATATGTACCTTGCATCTAGGGTTGCATTTTTTACACATCTGCCGTTCCACCAAGCCTAATGCTAATTGGTGGTTAATCTATTCACATCTGATTCTATTCCTTTGACTGTACGTTTCTAAACTGAGTTCATAAGTATATGAAATTATACTTATATAATTTCATGCTTTGATGCTCACAGTATTCTTACTCTTACTTCATGATAGGGATCATCCTATCATGTTTTAACTAAACAAAATCATACGTGCACTTGCTGCCTTTTTTGCAGCAATACTGAAGAATTTGGCCCTAGAGACCCTAACATTTGTTAACTCTAATAGTGGAAAATCTCATACTGTGAGGTTTTACCCAAGAAGGTGAAGAAAAGCCCCATTTCTGATGAGAATCTAGAATCGGAATCATTAGAATTCTGACGTTATACATTGGAGAACTTGTATGTTACAGATTTACAGAATTCAGACCTCCCTCATTCTCTGAACATGTAGGGTGGAATAGAGAACCAATTTTTTTTTTTAAAAAAAAATGACCCATGCCAGTATCCCCGTTAACCATGATGCCTATAAATGCCAAACCAACATCTAGAAAACATGACTTTTCTGTCTTTTATTCTCTCCCCTCATCCCCAAACAATAGGAAAGTTTATTACTGAACTCATTTTTTCCCAACTTTATCCACATGTTTAATATTGCACTTCACAGACTGCTAGGGTAATATTTTATTAGACATAATCAAAAATCAGAAGATCCACATTTTTTTTAGCTATGTGGAAACTCCCATCTTTTAAGCAGAGGGAGGTGATTGATTAAGCTGAGCTCTTGCTGAAAAAAGAAAGCTATTTGGAATTAGATTCAATTTATAGCACTGATTGCCTCAAGTAAAGCCTGTAAATCATGTTTTAGATATACCATCTTTCACATTAGAAAACAATGTATTGTATATAACTTAAATACTTCCTCTGAAAATTATATTTTACTTTGCTATAACTTTGACACCTTGTTTTCAGAGCTAGTGGAGTGGGTTTAATCAGTGCTATAGATCTCAACTTTCCATTATCTTTATTTCAAAGCTGCTTCTTCAATTTTTTATTGACTACTGTAACAAAATTCCTTCCTAATGTGTGAATGGTAATTTATGGAATGCACAAGGTGTATTTCTACTTATACTAATTTAGCTATTTATTCTTCTGCAACCATGATATACAATATAGAATGAATTAACTTATTTCTGGCACCTGTAATTTACAGACAATTGCAGGGGTTATTTTCTTATACCATTTGCAGACAGTTATTTTATTATACAATCATATAACCAGGCAAGAAGAAAATGCTATAATCCTTTTAAGGAAGATTCTTTTGTAACAAACTCTGATAAATAAAATTTGTGACTGGGTTCATGCAACACATTAAGCCATTGTATCAGTGGGTTGGTTTTGACCTAGCACAACATACGAACTCAGCTCTTGTGGCTTGTAAACCATGATTTATAGCTGAGCAGTATATAAAGCAGGCCACTACAGCTTGTTCCACAAACCATGGTTAAAATAAACTATGACTTGTGTGACATATGAAACCAGCCACTGTTATGTTATGTTAAATTAACATAACTCTTTAAACTTTATAACTTTAAGCAAAGCACAAATGGAAGTTAAAGGTGTCTTTATGCTACAGTTCATTATGGAACACTATCACAGTATTAATATAGATTGAGATTGAGCCTTTTTTATACTTAGCTTGTTTTTTTACCAGGATAATTCCAGAATGTCTCTACCCTACAGATAAATATTCTGATTCAGAATATATTTTGTTTTTAATGTACTTACTTGCCATTATTTTCAATGGAATTAATTTACAAAATCCATGTACTTTCGGATTAGAGCTTTTGACAAAATCTAATCTGTTTATGCCCAGAGCCAATCAGGCTCAGCTTGGTGTCCAGGATTTGCACCAAATAACATTTCATGTGTTTGGTAGGCCTTCCATGGAAATGATGATGCGGGCAGATTGAAGTGTCAGCTTTTTATGTACCAGATCCCCAGATCGATCTTTAATGGTTACATTTCTTCAGTAATGTGACATACATCACATCCCATGCTGACAGAGAGAAATGTTGTCTTCTCAAACAGTATTAAGATATAGTATTTGCCTAATGATTGAATGACAAAGATTACTGACACCAGGAATTATTTGTTAAGCTACTAATGAACTCTATTGGTTCAAACAGTTCTAGTTTTTAGATGTATTTTGTTGAGATATACTAAGACAAAAATGAAAGCTATATAAGTTCAAAATGTGTAAGGAATTGCAGCATTTGATCTCACATCTTTGCCTTTCTGCAAAAGGACCAAACTACATTCTTAGGGGATTATGTCAACCGAATAGCACATATATAAATACCTCCTGATTTTTAAAACATTTATAAAATAAAAGCAAGCAATATATTTTTTCACCATAATGATTGAAATCTGTTTTTCTTCCTAAGCAGTTAATTACAAAATACCTATATTGCTAATGCCTTGTTATTATCCAAGCACATTGAGAGAGCAAATAAATTTTTAAAACCCAAATTATAGTTTGAATAGGATTCAGACTCTGCCCCTTATGGCATACAACTGCACAAAATTGAAGGGGTGATACATACAGTAACAATTGACTCTATGAAACAGGTATATTTAACTTGTGCAACCTGTCATATATGACCTGCAAATGGATGAATAAACTGTACAGTAGGTATAGGCAGTATATTATTGTGGTTTTATTTTTTAATACTCCTCTATTGTAAAGCAGAGTTTTCAAATATTCTCGTAATTAGAACTAAATACAATCCAGTCGTAAGATAAAGCATGATGCTCTTATACAGGTTGGATGCGTTGTTTTCTGCATGAAGAACAGTGCCTGCCCACCCTTTCTGTAGATAATGTAGCTTATCTTGGTGTAATTTCAGTGAAATTGTGTATACGGTATTAATAGTTGGTATTTTATTTTAATTTAATTTAACTTCAACTCTGCTGGAATATAAATTTATAGTAATATGTTTGAAAATAGATTGGATTAAGTTGGCTGGCTTTGGTATTATATTGGTATTTCCATTTCCATGTTTAACAGCAAAATTTCCATAATCTGCTAAGCACTGCTACATGGTGGTGTAAGCAGTATAATTGTGTTTAAATAATTGCTATAACCCTCATGTTCCAGCCAGGTCATTTGTAAATATGTTAGAGTACTTGTCTTTATATATCTAAACAAGCAGCATGCATGTGAGGGTATGCGTGCAAATCCCTGGCACTTAGTGAATGTGAGTGACTGTCTGATGTTGCGCTGTGATTGCAATAGCACTGCTACTTTAATGAATAAATATAAGCACAGTATTATATTGAGTTGATTATGTATTTTTCTGTATACATGATAGATTGGAGATATAAAGATAGATGTTAATAAATTATTGCAACTATCAACATTTTGATCCCTTGTAAAAAAAAATTATCTTTTATTTTGAATGCTATGTTTACCTTTTGAAACTGCAGTCTCAGCTTTTGCTTCTCAATCAGGACATTGTGGTGATCTAACCCTTCAGGATTCCTCAAGTGTTCATTTTTCACTTCTTCACTGACCATAGTAATAAATCCAATTCAAGGCAAAATGAGAAAAGACAGACTTCTTTTTGAAGCATATTCTTTTACTTGTTCATATTCCAGTGTTAATAGATCATGTGAAGATAAATGATTGAGATAAAAATATGGTATAAAATATGCTTTCTTAGAGACTGTTATTTGAAAAAAAGGAGTTGTTATATAAAGTTGAAATCAGATAAATTCAGGAAAAGAAGCAAAAGGTCCCCAAATGTCACTTATGAAAATTTTGTGTGAACCAAGCTGGACAAACATACGTTAATAGATCTCATATTAGTTATAAATCCCAGCACAAAGCTAGTTCTACTGCATTGCAGTTGCATGCAAGATTCATTTCATGCTTTATATATTATAATATGTAAATTTAAATATAATTCATGATAACCCTGAATCAAATTAGTTACTACCTGTCTTAAATTCTCTAGAGCAATGTTTCCAACCTCAGAAACTTGAGATGTGTAGACTTCAATTCCTCGAATTCCTGGGTGGGAGATTGTGGGAGTTGAAAGCCACATATCTTAGAAGTTACTAAGATTAGAAAGCAAGGCTGAAGAACTAGGTTGTAACTATTCCTCTTTCTTAATAGAACAAGGAACAGTTTTATAGTTGTAAACTGAACCTAGTTATTGCCCAAACATAGTTATATTATTTTGCTTCTGTAGGCCTTGAATGCATGGATACCATATAATTATGCATAGAAAGGGGAGATCCACTCAATTCCAAGCTCTGCAGATATATCCAGCTAGGGGAATTATTGTGGTTATGATCTCTTGAGATCATGGATCTTGTGTACATGACATCTTAGACTGCATTGTTAGTTGATCACCCTACATACAAAAGAAAGCACAAACCTGGCTTTGACTGTAATTAAAAATATTCCTCTGAAAAATGAAATGGTGTATTGTATATCAATGCCATTTTGTGTAAAATCTAATACATGGAAATGCTAAATCTATTAATGTTGATTACTTTATTACAGTAGCAATGACTTGTTTACTATGCATTTTTCATAGTTCTTATCTCCTTTATCTATAGCAATTATTTTCTTTTCCTGTGTGAACTGATTTCTGTAACTTGTATATAAAACTGGACATTCTTTATATACTGGAAATAATCAGCAAAGACAATATTTCACTAAATGTTGGATTTTTTTATGTACATATCATCAATAAATGTGAATTCATAATTTTCATGGGTAGAATCAATGTGAGTATATCTATTTACTTGCAAGCTCTAGAGAGAATATGTGATGGAAGGATGTATGAAGACTTATAGTCCAGTAACAAATGTTTGATATATGTATGCTAATTTGCCAATGATTGACATATTAAACCAACAGAGCTACTTTCACATGTTAGATTTGCAGTTCTCCAGATTTCTGTTCATCCATGTACTTTTATAAACAATGAAGTTTCTCTTTCTGATAAAATAATTCAAGACATTTATGTTACCAAAATGTTAAGGTTTGTGTGCGTGTGTGTTTGTGTGTGTATTTGATGCAGAAAAGCTGCCCATGAAAGTAAAATGTACCTGTCCTGTTGTCTTTTAGACCAACATTGGCCATAACATCTAAAAGTGGGAAAATAGATACATTTGAAGAAAATGGTTCATCGTAGCAATTGCTTATATTAATCAGTCGTCATTTTGTAAAACTAAATTAGTACATTAGGTAATTAAGTCTCAAATAATGAATTTCAAACAAAAAAGGGACAGGAGCACTTAGGTTAGTTTATGTACCTGTCAGTTACATGGCTATAATAGAACTAAGCCTCTGAGCCCCTGCCCATCCTTGTTGCTCTTCTTTCTAATTTTTCCAGTTCTTCAATATCTTTTTTGTGTTGTGGCAAATTAAATCTTCGTTCAGGTATAGTCTTAACCACTGCAGCATAAGGAAGTAATATCACTTCCAGTGATCCTGACATTATGCATCTGTTGGTGTACCCCAAAATTAGTTTGGGCAGCTGGTCATCTGTGGTCTACCAAGATACCCATACCCTTCCTGCAACTACTTCTAAATCAAGTGCAGGTAGTCCTCGACTTACTACCCATGAGCCCCAAAATTTCTGTTGCTAAGTGAAACAGTTAAGTGAATTTTGCCCCATTTTAAACCTTTCTTGCCACATTTGTTAAATGAATCATTGTAGTAGTTAGTAACATGGTTATTAGTTTCCCCATTGACTTTACTTGTCGGAAGTTCCCAAAATGGTGAGCATATGATTCCAGAACTGCAACCATCATAAATATGAACCAGTTGCCAAGCATCCAAATTTTGATCACATGGCCATGGGGATGCTGCAATGGTTGTAGGTGTGAAAAATGATCAGAAGTGACTTTTTTCCAGTAAGGGTGTAACTTCAAACGGTCACTAAATGAACTGTCATTAACGACTACCTGTACCTAAATTGTACAATGCATCTGTTTTTTTTTCCTGTCAAATGCAGAATCTTACATTTTTCATCACTGAACATTTTATTGGATAGGACCAATGTTCAAGCCTATCAAAATCCTTCTGAAGCTTGAGCCTGTCATCTGGGGTGTTAGAAAGTTTTCCAGCATTGTGTCATCTTCAAATTTAATGAGCAATCCTTTTAGTCCCTCATCAAAGTCAATTAGAGAACTGTGTTCTAGGCAGAACCCTGAGCTATCCTTTGCATGCTTCCTTCCATGTGGATGTAGACCTATTAAGGGTCATATGTTAGTTATTGAGCCAGCTGCAAGTCCATTTTGTAGTGGGATGATCCATTCCACATTGGTCCAGTTTATCAAGATTATGGTCAAGTTTTTCAAATCCCCTTCTGAAATATAAAATGAAGTATAAAAAAACCCAATGAAGTTTATTTCCCCATGCACTTCTACAAGAAAAGCTGATTCAAATATCAAAAACCCACAGAAGAACATGTTGCTAGGAATCAGAAGTAGCGTTTCTGATTAAAAGAAAAATTAAGTTTGCCATATAAACCAGGTGAAAGTACTCTTCAAAGTTTTATTCCAACATCTTTGAGCAAAGAAGTATATGGCATCAATTATTATATTGTAATTCAAATGGAAAGTGTGGTAGCTGACAATAATTGTTTTCTTAATGTAAGCACATACGGGGTGACGGTTATACTCCAGGCATTCTTTCAGACTGAAAAACAATCCAATAAAAGTTCAAACAATTGTTTCTTATATCTGATCAGCTAAATTATCACAGTGGATTCCAAAATAAGGTAGTTAGTCTATACTTTCTATATCTTATTACTAAAAAGTATAACATGACTGAAAACACTCAGTAATGCACACAGAACATAATATTCTACAAAATTTTCTCCAACCTTCAATATCATATTTCTGGAAAATTGGGAGGCACATACAGTACATTCTACTAAAGGCACTTATTCTGTGTATAGATATCCTGGCTGGATTTCAGTTAGTGGCATGTTTTCAAGAGATCAGAACTTCTGAATTACATATTTCAAATATGTTTCATGTGTTCTTCCACTGTAAGTCATGACTGCACAGAAAAAATCTCACATAAACATACTCTGCTAGAACCGGAACTGTGTAGGAAAAGAGGTGCCCTGTTTTATTCTTAAGAATCTTTTTACTCTAATTCTCATTAGACTGCGACCTATTAATTCAGACTCAAACAGGAAATGGGTATTTCAAGGGAACGCAAACAATGAGGGACAGTGGGACAAGAAAAAAGGAATGTGTCTTGGTTTGGTCCCGTCCAAATATTCTAGGGTCAGTTCTCAGCCCATAAGATAATTAATGGGATCCCTAATAACTGGAATAAGATACACCAGAGGTACAGCAGGCTGACAAGGAAGGTGAACACTGAAATTTAAAGATAACATCACCACATTATTTAGATTATAGAGAATAAAAATTTATTTGCTATAAATCAGATTTGGATTTGGGGTTTTTTGTTTTGTTTTGTTTTTTTTTGGTCTTTCTATCCTTTTTGGTGAGTGTTTTTAATATGGTGGAGATCTGTGGAATGTGTAAAAACATGCTTTTCATATTCAACTATTACAACAAGTAATTCCAAAATATTAAAACATTAACGAGATTTAATAAACCTAACAATTTCTTAACTGACCAATAAAAATTCAATTCCAAAATCTATGAGTCGAATCTCAAGATAGCCTATCATTTGAATTCCTTGGGAATGCATTTTATAATACCTTAATGGCTACAGATTCTGGAAAGTTCAAAAATTCTATGTCAGGCAAAATAAATTTTGGTGTTTTGCCTTACTAAACTGATTGCAATTGGGGAACAAATACAAGTAATAAGAGGATGGTCACTAATTTAAACTGGTCAAAATGGTGCAATGTTGGGCAAAACCAAAAATGACATTTTTGAAGCTGACCATTACAAAAGAAAAAAACAAGAAAATGTATGCTTAATTATGTTTTAAAGAGATCAGTAGCTCATTGCATTTCTGAGTTCTAGTCCCAGTTCAGTATGATGGTTTTTGTTTTCCCCAACTCTGATTCAATTTGATTAGCACAGCTTTCCTACATGCCACTCTTCAAGGGCACATCTTGTTGGTTCTGTGTTTCATCAATTGCTTGGAATTCGTCATGTGGGCCCTTTTGGTCTTCTGGCTTCTCTTTGTGTACCAAGTGCACCATTTCCTGAGATTTGCTGGCTTCTCCATTTAACCCATCTTTCTTTTTCTCATCTATTCCTCCTTTACCGTTGTTGATCACAAGCTTCTTCTTCTGCCCACATCTAATAGAAAAGGGACAAATTGTAAAGTAAAAATATTTAAAGACAGCATGTTATATACTGCCTTCATTTTGTCTGAAGTAGCAGATTACATTAAAAACATTCATTCCTTGCTTATTTCTTAGGTAAGAATTTCAATTACTGCAGATTAATCTTTATTTCTGGTGTGTTGACATAATTGGAACAAAGCATAACCTATCAAAATAGCCTTCTAACAAATTCCTTATTTTGAATGGAGGATATCTTTGGATTCTTCAGAAGAATAAAGCTATGTCTATGGTTCTCAAGTTACACATGGATTGAAGTAAGGGAGGGAGGGAGGGAGGGAGGGAGGGAGAGAGGAAGGAAGGAAGGAAGGAAGGAAGGAAGGAAGGAAGGAAGGAAGGAAGGAAGGAAGGAAGGAAGGAAGGACCCACAGCTAGGAGTCAATGCCTACATTTACATTATAAACTCATAACTCAAATGCACTATGTCATATATTTCAAAGAATGTCACAATTCATATACCAGTGCTCAAAAAGCAAATGCCTTTTCATCTTTTCATTTATCCACATGATCCTGGAAGGAATGGGCAAATATTTCTTGTCAGCACTCCTCACCAAAATGTTCTTACCCAGTAGCAGCAATGTATATTGATTAACAGCAGTTCTTACTATTATAATGGTTCTTCAGAAAAACGAGAAAGCGAATTTCAAAATGACATCAAAACTGAGATTCAAATGTATCAGTTGAAAACTTTTTTTATACTGTGGGTTGGTTCATGTAACATTCAGAGATGGGAATACTGACCTATGAATCTCCTTTCCCTTTCATTTGCATATCTGGTTTTAAATATTGCAGAAACAGAAGATAGCTGAAATGAGGGCATTTGGGGGCAGCCTGGAACTTAGTATTTAGCCCTAGAATTTTAAGCAGCCTTATATGTAGCTTTCCAATGAAACTGTAAAATCTTGCCCCTTCATTAAACTGAGATGTTTGGTTAAAAAAAAAATACTTCTTAGACTGGGATAACAGACATTAAAGAAAAATTGATATGTGCTTCACATTAAAAGAGAATTAAGCCATTAACTTTGGCATTCTATGATAGGGTTGTGTCCGATGTATTCTGGAAAAAAATGTTTCATTTTAGAATACATCCATCCCCATTTCTTTAAAAGAAAACTCTTATACTCTCCTCCCACCAATCCAATTTTGTTGAAAATTTTGGAAAGCTCAGTAACATCTTCTGATCAGTTCATCAAATGGAGTATTTCTTCACTAACTTTGGAGTCAGTAACATTGACATTACTACTGAAAACCAGATGCTACGCATAGAAAAATACAAATGGAATTTGCAATGAATGGTTTTTGCGGGTTCCAAATAAAGACGTATATATATCCTCTATGAGAAATGTTACAAATTAAAATTACTACTAAAATCCTTTAGAGTTCTTAACTGAAAATTTCCTGAATATTTTTCTGCAGAATTAAACCACAGAACTATTGCACATTTTCAGAGGATGCTATCTGCATTTGATTATCATTGATCAGCTTTAAAAAAATATTTGTTTAAAAATTAGCAAAATGTTCCTTATTACAAAAACAATAGCATCAAGATTTAATATAGATTAGTGAGGAGCAACACTTAAATTAAGGAATTATGTTACAGAAAAGCTGAACAAACAGGAAATATGCTGGTTCTTAACTACAAAGCTAGTAATTAATCTCCAAGCAAGCATTTCATGTGAGAAACACCATCCAGCTATCTAATTACTTCAATATAACCTTGTTTTTTATGTATACTATAACTAAGTGGTCATTTTCAAATACTACTCAGCAAAATAATCCAGAGTAAATCCCAGCAACTAACTTCAAGGTGGCTCTTTGCTCTGATTGAAGAGGAGAAAAGTTATATGACAAATGTTGAGGTTGAAAATCCACTTTTGAATTGACATGGAAAAGGACATATCTTACAATGAACACTGGACTAGGAGATAAAGTAGTAAGCTTTTGATGCATTATATGTTTAAAACCAGTTGTCTATAGCTTCCAAGTATGCTTGTTGATTAAGTTCTTTGTGACACAGGAACTGCTGTCTCTTTTGAATGCTCTAAAATTGCCAGTCCTAAAAATATCTCAGCCACAGACAGTTTTGGCACTGAGAAATGGAAAACTACAAAAGAATTTCTTACCTCCTTCGACTGTTTACAGCAATGCAAACACCAAGAATCAATGCCAGGGCCAAAAGGGAAGCAACTACAATAAGCCAATCTGTGGGTAGAAAAAAACATTATTTTGTTATCTGACCAGAGAACTGACATTTCTCTTTAATATCTAATTTTACTTCTTTCAGAATAATGTCCATGAACTGTTATTTTTAGTTGACAGAAAACTATTCTTTATGATCTGGTTTTCACATAAGTGAAAGTTACGTTCCAGCTACTCTTAACAACAATTATATATAAACAGTGATATTTGTGCTGATAATTTATATCCATTATTATATTGTCCTATGTGAGGTAGGGGGCAATGTGCTGTTACTTCCACAATTGTGAGTGTGGAACAAAATGTAACTCTGATTAAAAAAACATCTTATGGTTTCTGTAACTATTTTAGTCACAGTAAGATTTTCCAGAAAGTTGTATAGTCAAATGGCATGGGGTGGGAAAAAAAATATATAAGAAGGATAATAATCTAAGAATGAACTACATAACTTGTTTTAATCTGACTTCAAAGCCGGTAATCAAATTATATGGTTTACAAATTAGAGATCTGAAATTATAAACTTATGATTCTTCAATAAAAGCAGTTTTCAATATTCAGATTAGCATCAACATTGCTATGTTAAACAGTTAAACAGCTATTCGTTTTCTATGATAGATAGGATAACACTTATTGGGTACTGCATATATCACAGATAAAAATTGTATAAGAAATAAAGCAATTATGTAGTTGAACCATAAGATCTCACTTCTTTGCCATGGAGTGATATCTGGATTACAGTTGTCATAGTTTCACCCATTCCATGCCACACTCTACCAAATTACACTATGTTCCTATATGCCAGTGAAATTGTGGCATTCTATAATGAAGTTCAACAGAATTTGAACTATTCAACTATTGAATATATGCATAATTGAGCTATTTTTTTCTGTTGGCAGTATTTCTCATGATTTAAGCCAAGTGTCAGAGAACCTTTAATTCCGATGTATCTCAAGACATGGGCGTATAGTGTGGAGGTGGGGAGAAATGAAATGTGTGCAATAACATGACATCATTAGAATGTATATACCTAATGGTGGCATTTGCATGTTTTAAACACAAAAGATGACATCAACAAAAATACAGAAACATCACAGTACGAATTCATGATAAATACCAATGATAAAAGCACAGAAACAAACCTGGTATACGAGCCATTCGTGGTTGACTTTTTCCTGATCCTTCAGGTAAAGGCGTCATATTTTTGTCTCCCGCTACACTGGGGTGTTTGTTTGGATCAGGACCTAGAGAAAAGGCATGCTTTAATCTCTGCATTATCAATATCTGGAATGTCTGCTTTTGTATTTGCAGAGGACAAAATAACGTGTTACTATTTAATCGGCATCTATGGACCAATGTGTTTCATTCATAACAAACTTTTAATTCCCATAAGTACTGATGAACTATCACTACTTATGGAGATAGATTGGTCTTTTTGGCTTTTTCTTTACCCAAACAGGAATCATTATTTCACACATAGCTCACAAAAAGGTTGCTTTTTTTCAGAAGATGTGGGAGAGCTGTGCTATGCCAGGGAAATATCACAAAGCATAATAATGTTTCAGTTTACTTCAGCATGTCTTTTGTAGGCAGAAATATCCAGACTGATTTGAATTGGAGAGTATAGCTAAATGCCAGGTGCAAATAAGTAAAAGACATTTCTTTCAAAAATTGATATTTCTAATATTATACAACTATGCTTGCCCCCACCTTTCCAATAGGTCCTGCTGGTTTGTATTCGGAACAATAAAAATTGGTGATTTAAATGAATACAAAGGATAAAAAATAAAGTATTTGCATTTGAACACAAGGGTACAATACAGCATAACTGTGACAGTGAGCATACGCTGCAATATACTTAATTCAGATAATTCCTAATGGCTACCAGATTATGAGCAAATCAAAAGGAATCAACAAAGACGACACAGGGCTGATTAGAAAGATTAGAAATAAAATACTCAAACTGATTCGTGAATTTGGAAAGAATTTATCCAGCAAAATATAGTCTACATCAGATTAGGAAAACTGTACAGTGTCTGCTCTAGGATTCATGATTATAAATTCACATACAGTTCACAATAGCTATATTCTCAAAAACAGGCCTATAATTAGTATAAATTCTGTTTATTTCTATATTGATAGCTCACATTCTAAGATGTTGCTAGAAACCCATCAAATTTAAATTATTATTATATAACAAAAATAGTTTAAGTATTCTGTGCTAATGGAAAGATCAAAATCAGATATACAGGGTAGCGGATTTTAATGGTCATACTATTATAAACATTCAGGATTGCAACCTGACCAAGCTCCTTTTATGTCTCTCAGTCTTAAGGGCCACTATGGATATCTCAAAAATGCCTTTTTTGCACTGAAAGGATTTAACACTTCCTTGCACTGAGATCTGAGCAGGCACATCAGAAGATGATGGAAAAGGAGGCTTTTTTAAGTGTTGATCTGCTGTGGAATTTTATTAGGAGGCATAGTGCTTTTACTCTAATCAAAATTTCTGATAGAAAAAGTCATTCTACAGGAGAATCTACTGCTACATGTTCTAGAACAGAGGTCCCCAACCTCTTCATGGTGCCATGAAGAAAGATTTTTCTGAGGACCAGAGGGGATGTGGTTTTGAATGCTGCCTGCATCCCGAGGATGGAGCTTTGCTTGTTTGGGCGGCCCACTTGCTGGCATGCTGCGGACTGGTGCTGGTCCACAGACCAAGGGTTGGGGACCCCCGTTCTAGAACAGGGGTGTCAAATTGGCAGCCTGTGGGCCAGATGCATCACACACAGGCCATGCCCACCCCGGCCCCGCAAAGGCAAAAAACATCATATGTCATGTGACGCAATCGAGCTTGATACCCGTGTTCTAGAATAAACAGCAGAGCAAATACTGCAGGAGCTATCTGAAGTATTTATACAAAGCCCATAAGGTTTTTAAAGTGTTAAATTGGAATATCTGGAAAGCCCCATATCCTCTTAAGCAGGAACTGAACAAATCTCAGGTGATACTCAGAGGAGTATCAGATGTAGCTGCTGCTATCAATTTGGAACCTCACTTGCTGATATCAAGGTTGACCTATTTGATGTCAACTGGTTTTTAACATGGCATAATCTAAAGACTGGTAAACAATGACAGAAGATGCATTTAAAGTTCTAATTAAGGTAGCAAATATATTCAAATAATCTGCCTGCTTTTTCAAATTATTCTCTTGTACAGCTTTTAGACTGAAAATTGACAATCTTTCTGACCCTGAGTGTCCCACTCCCAAAAATCAAAAATGTGTGAAATATAATGCAATTTTATTACATCTTCTCAGAGCTCATAGAGCAATAGCAAAATTTTATGAGATTTTGGTGTTCTCATGCAAGATTGTGAAAACCTGCAAATTACAGTATTTTATTATTTTAAGTGGGAATCTATGAAAATTCCCTAGTTTTAGCCAAAATCAGTTATATATAATCGTATTTACAAACAATAGTCAATTGTAAAACATTAGAAATTAGTTTTGTGCATGCAATTATGTCCAAAGTGATACTACAGTAATTACTTATTCTTCAGAAATCAGAAAAGAATATTCCACAGTGAGGAAAGATAGAAAAATTATCACTCTAGCCGCAAAGTTAAAGAAATTTCATAGAGAATTCTCACACCTCCTGGTGGACAACATTCCAACCATATATCTTTATATGAAGCAATACACCAGAGAGAAGGTTTTGTTTGTAGTAAGATTTCCATTGAAAATCCAGAATGCCTCACTGCTTTCCTCATAATTTCTCTTTTTATTTTTATTGATAGGTCGCCCAGATTCATAAATTATGAGATAAGAACTCTTACAAAACGCAAAAATAAATGTTAAATTTACAGGAATATATATCATAGGTCTTACTGTCAGTGGAAGGTGGATGTCTGTTTATAGGATCTTGACTGTTATTTACAAGATTTTCATCATCCCTGGTCCATGTAGGATGCCACTCTGGACCAAGATCTGATTTTTCATTTTTGTCTCCATCACTGGAGGCCACAACTGGGGTAACAATAGTTAAATCAGTTATGAGCAGGATATATGTAGGATCAAAACTTTACCCACCAAATTCTTACTTCTTCAAGTTTAAAGGGCGTAAAAGAAGAGATGAAATATAACAGACATTCTCTCTTTTTTTTACTGGCAAAGGTTGTGGCCTGTTACAATGCGTGCAGGATGATGGACCAAGAAGCAGATGAGGGACAAGGGGAAAAAAGAAAGAAATGCTTCCAATAATGCTCAGCAAGAGGTCCATCTCCTACCTTACACTAGCAAGCAAAGTCACTTTTATGCATGTACAGACATGAACATATATGAAGAAAGTTCATAGTTTTACTTGTAATAAATGTAATAACACCAGACTATAGTAATTGATGCTAAAAGCTACTGCAGTCCATTGTATTTTCATTTTATTTCTTTTTAAGAAGGTAAATACAATATAGTCCTCAACTTACAACAGTTCATTTAGTGACTGACCCCTGCCATATATCACTGAAAAAAGTGACTTATGACCACTTTTCACACTTACAACCATTGCAGCATCCCCATGGTCACATGATCAAAATTTGGATGCTTGGCAACTAGTTCATATTTATGACGGTTGCAGTGTCCCAGAGTCATGTGATCAGCTTTTATGACCGTCTGACAAGCAAAATCAATGGAGAAGCCAGATTCACTTAATAACAATGTTACTAACTTAGTATTTGCAATGATTCACTTAATAACTGTGGAAAAAAAATTGTCAAATGGGGCAAAACTCACTTAACAAATATTTCACTTAGCAACATAAATCTTGGGCTCAATTGTGGCCATACGTCGAGGACTATCTGAGTTTCGTTCAACATTTTATCTCCACAGATAGATATTCTATGTATCAGTACTACTAGTTGTTTGAGAAATCCTTGACATGTAATTGGAACAACAAAGTAGTATACACTATAGATACATCTCTTCTTATTAGCAAAGTTATGCATACTCTAATCTAAATGCCATTTTAAAAAATAGAACTGTAATGATAGCAGGAAACAACCCAATTATAAACAGGACTCCAAAAAATTGCCATATTATTACATTATCAACAAATATTCTCTAGTATATGAAATCTGCTAGTCATGCTAACTTAAAAAAACATTTAAAGATATCACTAGGCACAAAGAATAGAAAGCAAAATAAAGTTATAACTGTGAACAGACTAAATGGTGTGACTTGAGAGCAAAACAAATAGCTTAGAAAATGAAATTTATGCAGTTCTATATAATATTTCATAAAAATTACCTAAATCATTTTAAAAATGAGTTTTAAGTACATACGATACATGCTTTTCAAAATGTATACATCAGGAAAATGTAGCTCATTTCCTCATGATGCCAAATGTAAAGTTATTTTAATCCAGAATGGGCACTGAACTTTGAATGCCTCACCAACATGTGATTCTTATGATCTTACTGGCCCAGAGCCACCAGAACGACCATGCCTATTGCATTCATAACAATCACATGCATTCTGGTATGAACATACTTATGCAGCCACTATTCTTCCACATAGAAAACAAATTTCAATGAAATACTACATTATATAAACATCTATATTATTGAAGATCTTGAGTTAGTAATTTCAAACCCTAATTACACTTTAAAAAGGCCATTAGTTCACTAGTTTCAGATGTTGATTTCATAGTTATTTTTCTTATCATCATCATCATCATCATGATGCAACAAATTAATTACCAATAAAGGAGAACATTTGTAGCTCAGGGTTGAAATGAGGGGTCCTTGTTGCTCTGAGCTTGGTTGTTTTTGTTGCAGACATTTCATTACCCAGGCCAGGTAGCATCATCAGTGCTAGCAAAGCACCAGAGACCATCAAGGACCTCTCAGCCGATTAATTATTTTCACCAAATAACCTGTATAACGCTAATGATACAGTAGGCTGAAATTTACAAATGAAAAGAGGATATAAGAATCAGCTTTTATTTATGTATTTGAGCACTAGAAATACCTAAAACAAAGATTGCTGGCTGCATAACTTACAGAAATAAATAGAACCATTGAGACTATGAGTGAACCTGGGTTAAAGAAAAATTCTGCTTTCCAGACACTCATTCTATCCAATGGAAAATGACATACCTCATAAAGTGTTGTTAGACGCACTTTTTTTAACCTGCCTAAAATAGACTCAGAAATTAAAAACAGAAGATTATCTCACCTAATAGAGGAGTAAAAAAGATCCCACCACCATTCTAGTGGATACCTGTATGATCAGTTTTATTTTTTTGATTTATTCCTCTTCGAGGAACAATTCCGGAAAATAAGACATCCACTGTGGATTTTGTAGTATACATGTCTTCACTAACCCATTGCCTCACTGGTTCTGGGGTTGAATCTTCTTTGGTCCCATAAAAGCCCACATCTATGGCAATGATAAAGCAATGGAGAATGAAACAAAACTATTAGCTGCATTTTCATTCCCTTGGCAGCATAGGCCCAATATTTTATTTCTTGCAGAACAATAGAATACTGGTTATAATTCAGGCATACAAAAAAGCACACTATAATTCTAACAGCAAGTCCCATTCTAATTAACTCCTGTTGAGTCCTCTCTGTTTTCTTTCCTGTGTCCACCAAAGATTATTAGTGGTTATGGGTAGTAAATTTGGTACACAGATTTTCCATATTTATTGTTACGCACATTTAACAGACAACAAAATAATTCACAAGTAAGGACAATTGTCACTTAAAATTGGGATTTTTAAAGTTTCCCCCTCCTCCCCTTTTCCCCATCACTATTTCTATTCTTGCTTTGGTAATATTATATCCTAAATCTAACCATCATTTTGCACACTCACTGCAAGTTTCCAACCAATTGGTTATCACAGAAATAATCAATGGATGCCTTTGGAAAATTAGAAAAAACACAGATCACCATATACTGAATAAAATAATAAAAATATCAAAAAGTGTATTATAAGACTATGATTCAGAATGTATTTTTTGATTCAAAGCTTATACAGAATGAGGATTTATATAGAATCACAATGAAATTATACCATATAAATCAGCTTAAGAACAAAACAAATCAGCGTAGAAATATTTAGTAAGTTGGTATATATTATTTGAATTATGATACGAATACTAGTCTAATATGAAAACCTTTTCAGGAGTTGTAATATATATACTGTAGGTACTATGAAACCATACTTCATCCATGCATCATTATGAAAGGACAATATTATTCACAGCAATACCTTCATAAGAATGATGTTCATTTTCATGCTGTTTACTGATTTCCGTGCCATTACTGGAAGTATTAGTAGGTTTTTCTTCACTGAACCAGTCTGGCTGGTAAATAGGAGGCAATGGTGATTGAGCTGAATCTTCAAAATCCTTGAGTATGGCAACTGTTTGATGAACCAATGATGAACTTAGATTTGGATATTTAAAATTTTAATCTGTGCATTGTCCAAATGAATTCCCATCCAAATAATCACTGCCCAAAATTTCTACTTCATTCATATTTTCTATACTTTTTTTTCTTTAAAGAAGAGCTTTTGAGCATGTTTGCCATCTGGTCAATTATATTTACTGACTAAAAATAAGAATCTAATGATTCACTCGATGTAATATATCCCCAAGGACCAGTGGTGGGATTCAGCCAGTTTGCACCACTTCGGCGGAACTGGTAGCTAATTTTTTGTTGCCCAGGCCCAGAATGGACTTTCGGAAGCGGCATCCACACAGAGAACCGGTTGTTTACATATTTGAATCCCACCACTGCCAAGGACCACTGTAGTTGGAAGCATATTAGCCATTACTACCCATATGAAAGGTTTTTGCTGCACTATGTCCAGTTGATGGAATAACACGTACTGCTCCTGTGACTTTTGTAATGTTTGTGAAATTTTTATCTTCTTTATTCCATTCATCATACACATTATGTATTACTTGATTATGAGTAGTATCTTCATGACTGATATTTTCATTGATTCTCACAATTGTTATAATGATGGTTAGGTAATTTTTAAATATCCCAGCTGCACAATCACATCCTACATTGTTTACAGTAGGCAGCACTATTTTTTATCACTGTATTAATATTTGAGTAAATAACCACTATGAAAATATAGCCATATTTTAATCCTTGACTAAAGCAGGGAAAACTAGAACTACAAAATGGTAGCCTACTAACTTTCATACTAAAGATTGGAACTTTATATGCAACACCATATATCGGAGTGTCAAACTGCCAGCCCATGGGCCAGATGCATCATGGTGAAACCGTACCCCCATTGCCAGCAAAGGGAAAAAAGTTGTGATACGTTGCGACATGTCACGTAATGTTGCGAGTTTGACACCCCTGCCATATATCATTACAAGTATATAAACTATTTTCAAACCTCATGCCAATTTTACATGTATAAATGCTTCATGTAACAATTATTAAAGACTACAGCTATTTCAACAATAGAGTTTTGTGTAAATGTGATGCCACTTAAAACTATTCCACCCACTGCATAAGTGTCTTCCATGTCCTGAAGGATTTTAGCAGAATTAATGTAGGCTATTATTTAATTGATCTAGAATGGCAATATAGAGAAAATTAGTTCTTTTTCTTCCTAGTACCTGTATGTGATGTTTTATTTTCTTGCACATTATCTGGGAGATTACTAATTCCAGGTATCAAATCGTTTATTGATGAATTTGTAGGATGATGAAGTTTCTCACTCAAATCAGGATCTTCTTTAATCAATGAATCTTGGGTAGAATCCTCATAATCACCAGCTTTCGTGGAAATCACAGCTATTACAATATTATTGAATTGATTTGAAACAACATAGGAATGACTTTCACTAAATAAAATTCTAAAACATATATACATTACTTCTGTCTTTCTGTCTTATACTGGTTGACACATATATTTTAATTTAAAAGTATTAATATTTCCCTAATTTGGGATTATGATGATGGAACATGGCTAATGAAGCATCACAGCATTCATTTTCAAGTGCCTATTTTCATCACCTAAACAAATGAAATGAATTAGCATTCTTCCATAAACTAATATGGAAATTATATGTCCTCTCGTAAACCTTGAGGAATTGATGATCAGTTTAAGCATCATTTCTCACATACTTTTTGGCTGTATTTTTATACAGATTATATGTTGAAATACCATATAATATATTTATGGGTTTTTTTTTCTTTTTTGAGAAAGACCACAAACATGGCAGAATAAGCTGATTAAAATTGTATTTTCTGAGAAATACCTGTCTGAGTTGTTTCCAATTCAGGCTTTCTTTCAATATGAATAATTTCAGACTGAAAATCATCCCTAGTTTTGTTCTCAGGAAGATCATTTTTATTGTCCAGTCCTGGATGGATATCAAAAAATAATGGGTTTTGTGTGGTTTCGTTGCCTTTTCTTTTTTCCTTGGAGGCTACAGTTGCTGCAACAATTGATTTCAAAATCAATTCTCTTGATAGCATATTATTTATTATTTACAATAGATTAAGTAATCTCTTACCTAGTTCAGAAATATGAACTAGGTAATATCTACTAATTTTTTGGGGAGAAATTTTCCAGAGAAAATCAATTCTGTCAATTTTTCTAAATTTAATTTATGAATTTATCTAAAGTAAATAGAATATATTCCAATGTACAAATACAATCTATCCCTATACAGGTAGGATTTATTCTCACATTATATATTGATCATATATGAGAAAGTTTTATTGATAACAATTTACAATCCATGTGGAACGATAGTTAATGGCCTCACATTCTATGTTTTTAAAGAATAACCCAACTCAACCAGAAAAATAGAAAACAAAAATTAAAAAATATTGCTAATATCTGTATGTGAAAGTTTATTATCATGCTTACTTGCAGTTGGATGAAGAACTCCAGGCAGCAATTGATCTCTAGATGTGTTTGTGTGATGTTTTTCTTCACTATCCTCTAGGTGCAATATTGACTGATGAGTAGGAGCTTCAGAATCAGTACTAACACTGGAAACTACTGCTGTTACAAAGATGGCTGGGTCAGTTTTAAACACTTTTCAGAGCTACTTTTCCAGTTGCTCTTTTACGTAGTTATAAATAGAAAGATAAAACCAAGAATATCTTAAAACTGTTTTAGTGGAATTAAAATGTTTATACATTGTATGAAATAAGTTTTTTTTTCTTCCTTCCATTCAATCATGTCCAATTCCTGGAAACTGATTGAACAAGTCTCTGTAGCTTTCTTGGCAAGGTTTTTCAGAAGTGTTTTGCCATTGCCTGCTTCCTAGGGCTGAGAAAAAGTGAGTGGCCCAAGGTTACCCCTCTGGCTTTGTGACTAATGTGGGAGTAGAACTCATAGTTTCCTGCTTTCTAGCCTGAAACCTTAACCACGAGATCAAACTGGGTCTCAATATAAAGTATCGTTGTCATCATTTAGTTGTGTCCAGCCCTCAAGCCAATGAAGTATATTATACCTATATCTACAGTGCCTAATTCAGCTAGAAAAATTCATGTTCTTTTCTTTCTTGACAGCAGAACAAATACTGCGGTGGAATAAGTCCCTTTCCTGCTAGAATTAAAAAGAGGAATGTTATATTGTAAAGGTAGTCCTCAATTAATATCTACCCCGTTTAGTGACTGTTTGAAGTTAAGATGATATTGAAAAACTAACTTTATGACCTGTTCTCATACGTACAATCATGGGGTTGCTATCTGGACAGTTTAAAACTGGCAGGCATTAACAATTGTCACAGGATCCAATGATCACATGATTGCCATTTGTGCACGTCACAGCCAGCTTCCAACAAGCAGAGTCAACAAAGAAGCCAGAAGTAAAGACAAAATTCAGTCATGTGATGTCTCACTTAACAACCACAAATGACTCACTTAAGAATCTCACTGCTTAGTGGCTGAGTTGCTCATCCCAATTGTGATCATTAAGCAAATACCTATACAAAAACTTGGGAAAGTATAATAAACTGTAGAGCAGTGATGGTGAACCTTTTAGAGACCGAGTGCCCAAACTGCAACCCCAAACCCGCTTATGCATCGTTGGGTGTCGGGTGGGCATGGCTACGATGGTAACGGCAGACTGGGTGGGACTAAAAAGTTCAATCAATTCCAGCTTTGCAAGATCTTTTTTTTCCCACAAGAAGTTGAAACTGACTGATTGATTGAACCCTTTTTTTTTTTTGCACATGGCGGCAGAGGCCTAAATTGAAAAGGCCTAGGATTGGGGCGACAGTGCGCATGCCCACAGAGAGGGCTCTGAGTGCCGCCTCTGGCATCCGTGCCATAGGTTTGCCACTACTGCTCTAGAGCAACAACAACAAAAAGGGAAAATGTAATTTTTTTAACCTTTCCTTTTTCATGGCCTTTTTCATCTGAAAAGTTATTTCAGTTGATTTCTATTCTAGCTATGCTTTTAAAATGTAGACAAGGTATCCACCTATTTAGACAAGTGTTGACATCAACAGGTCATGAGAAACAGATCTTTCATAACAGTGCTTGCAACTATGTTAAGACTATATTCACACAATTTTTCTTCTTAATTCTCTTCTGTCTATTTCACCTAGCTCTATCTAGTGTATAAAAAAATCTGAGAAGCAGAACAGCATGATTAAGAAAATAAAGAACTTATCCAGAAGAATGAACATCACTATCTCACATAATTACCAAAAAGAACTCCATTTTAGTCAATAAACATGGTCCATTTTTCCTAACTACCAGAACCAAAATAAAGGAAATTTCAAATTTCCATTTGTACAATAGCATTTCCTTTCATGCAACAGATTTTAGAGGATGCCCACAGTGGAACCAATGGATGCTGTTAATGGACACATCATTGGAAATAATTTTATATGCCACACAGTAACATTATTATAGACAGTCAAACTGACAATACCTGACTGAGAAGATGCATTTTCATAATAGCTGTCCCTTGGAGGCACAGGTATTTGTACAATATCATGGATTGTCCTGTTTGTGAGAGAACTTTGATTCCTGTGTGAAACTGTATCAACAGCTGATGGCTGATGTTGATGTCCTTCTTCATGTTCAACACTTCCATTGAAGAATGTAACTGTTACAGTTATGGTAAATAAGGCAGGAATAAATTTTGACTATTCATGTATTCAGTTGATGGTGTCTCAGATCCAAAGATCTGAGGGCGCTTTTAACAAACAAATATGCATTTAGGCTTTCTGGGTCAGTTTAAAAGGAGCATATACAAAAGTTTGCTTGCATGTTAGACCTCTAATATCAACAAGCTGCCAAGGTTATTAAGGTGTCTTGGGTTCAGTGTATTTCACAAATTTTCTGCAAGAATTAAAGTAAGTAACTGCATGAAGTAGAATTCCCCAAGTTATATGGCAACAGAACTCAGTCAAAATATTTGCTTTTTCTATAAATCAAATTTAAGCAACCAACTAGTTTCAGTGATTTCAGAAGGTTCAAATCACCTGAATTCCAAGATTTTACTTCAATCAAATTGTATGCAGCATGCAGTACAAATAATTGCAAATGGGCATGAATCATTGCACTGCCAGATAGGTGCAGCAGAGACCTCTAGCTTGTTCACACAATAAAGTCTATAACCCTCTATTCTCACATCTGAAGACTTTTATTACATCAAACCACTGATTCATGTACCCTATGTGACTTTCCAGGTCAGCCAAAGATATGTCAGATATCAAAGGAAGAGCCTTGTTACCTGCAATGAACCTTATTACTCCTTATAAATTAGTACTGCAAACCTGTTCTAGGACGTTAGTAAATTAACAGGTGAATTTAAAGAGAAATACAGAATATAGATTCTGAGTAATTATGTTCAGAAGCCGACTTCATGTATCTAATATATTTCTAAACCTAATGCCTTTGCAAAGTAACTATGTAAATACATTTTCACATAATGACTTGCTGAAGAGTCAGTCACTATTTAAAAGTGTAAACTGCTGTCTAAATCAACTCTAAAATAATCGGAGTGAATTGAGGGGAAAAAAGGCAAAACTCAGTTCTTATTCACACCTTGTGTGGAAGGGTAACATCTTTTGTTTAGAAACTTGGATGAGAAAACAAATGCAGCTATTTTAAAGAGAAAGTTGGCTCTGTAATGGAAGTATTCATATTGTTACCTGGACGATGAAAAGGGTCTTTTTCCAGGGTATTTTCATTTTCATCAGAAATGGAAAATTCTGGATGTAACATGTCTGAAGTGTTGATTGCAGGGGATATTGTGTCTTCAATTTCCAGTTCAGGAAATGCACTCGCCAGTTGAGGCTGCTTTGAGTCTTCCTGCTTGAAGAAATCATCACTGGAGGACATAGCTGTTATGATGATGTTTTGAATCAATTCCATTACTATGTTTGCTGAATAACCATCCAGATTATCTTGTTAAAGTATACATGGCTTGCACTTTCATTTATGTGGGTTAGGCAGAGGAAGAGGAAAGTAGATAAAATTTTGGAAAGTATTGTTGAATTCACAGGTCCCAGAATCATCACCACAATTTTCAGAAATGGTTGATTTTCCAGAGATGCCCCAGACACCAGAAACAATAGTAGAAGGAATGTAACAGCAATAGAGGCAGAAAAAATGTGATAGCAGCTTGCACCCTTATCTGATCTATCAAATGTGTTTGATAGATGCAAAGGCTTTGTACCATCTGGATTCACAGTAGCATCTTAAGTCCAAGAACATGATCCTTTTCCTTCCTTTTCTTCTTTTATTTGGACATTTTCTTTCTTGAAATATTTTGGCCACTCACTTCAGAGACATAGTCCAGATTTACATTTTCAGCTCAAAGGCTTATTTTGGATGGCATTCATTGCCTGGATGAAGTTCAGACAATTAAGCTTATTGAGTTCTAAAGGTGCTGCTGTATAAATCCAAGGAAATTAAAGTAGAAATACTATGAAATACTGAAGCCACACTCCCAGATTTATCCTTTATTGTCAATTTATTAAATCATTTAGCAGAAAACATAATGCATTACACATTATGATTACTAAATCTAAGAGAAAAAGCTTTAGATAGTGAGAAAAAATTGTAATTGATAACTCAAAAGAGAAAGCCCACAAAAAGCCCCGTGCAGTAAGAGAGATCTTCCCATCTTCAAGAGAAGATGTCAATACTTTTAATAAGAAATAAAGCTGCAACTGTACAACAAGTTTAACAGCATACAAATGCAATCGATTTCTCTTGTTCTAATGTTGGCAAAAGTATGCCTTTAGATAAAGAGCATCTATTATTACCCAAGTATTTGTTTGCGAAATGGTTTAAACCAGTGCTTCCAAAACATTTTCCTTGATCATACAAAACAACTTATCAAAAGTCCTTTTTACGCAATGTAGGTAAAACACTCTAAGTCAATTTAAATTTTCCTGTTGTGATTGGGAAATGGATTTGTGGGTCGTTACCCAAAGAAAGTCCACTTCTGAATAATTTACCCAGGTTTAGGAAGCAGAGTTTAATGCACCAATTTGGCATTTCAGTAACTTTCACAAAGCTCTGGAGCCTGAAATAATGTTAAAGTGCCGAGACTCTGGCTTCACCAAAGCTGCATAATATTTACATCTTCAATATCATGATTTTGGTGGATAAAGCAAACACATTTGGAAAATGTCTCTATATGTTTGAGTCTATTTTCCTGTTTGAAGTAAGCACAATGTATTATCTGCATACTCCAGTTGAAAATAGCAATACTTCCAACTACTAACTACATTCTGAGTTTTGATATTGGAGAAAGAAATTCTACTTCAAACTAATATAAATGAAAAATATGTTCACTATCATGCTTAATTCCTCATACCGGTAGTGGTTGAATATTGTTCATCATGACCTAGAGGAACAATTCCAGGTAAGACATCCACTCTTGTGTCATTTGTTGAGTATCTGACTTCACTGTCCCTTCCAGAATGTACAGCAGGTAGCAATATACCATGGGTTGATTCTTCTTGTTTGACATCTCTGCTGGAGTTCACAGCTGTTGTGACAATGGTTCAATTGACAATGGGTTGAATATTTGGAATCCCATCATCAACTAGCACTTGGGCTTAAGCTATTTTAGAAAATAATGTAACTGTACATGTTAAGACACAAGTTTTAAAAAGTACAGATCATATATGTACTTTCATGTACTTGACAAATGTGCATACATGAGTCCCCAAGCATGACGGTCTCATCAGAAATGCACCATTGTACAGACAGATGAAATAATCAGACGTAAAAGAACAAGCAATATCTTCTTCCTAAGTTGAAAGCATTCACTGTGGGTAGTTTGTAGTCTGATGCCTTAACCACTACATCAAACTGGTTCTACATTAAAGGAAGTTAGGTTTGAGTCAACAACCCCAAGCATGTAAGTGTAACACTAACATTAAAAAAAGCTTCTGAACCTTGAATAGTTTCATGGTCCACAACATCTATACAGGTAAAGATTTTTTTGGGCCTGGAACTACGTAAGAGGAAAATTTTCATCTGGCAAATAGTTACTATAGGAACAGAATCAGTCATGTTGTGAAATGGAGAATAAAAAGAATAAAAGGTAACACCTTTTCAATATGTTCTCATATTTTAACTTCTCCATATAATGCTAATGTGCAATAATAATAATAGTAATAATAGTAACAGTAGTAGTAACAGTAGTAGTAGTAGTAGTAGTAGTAGTAGTAGTAGTAGTAAAGTTGCAAGGGACCTTGGAGGTCATCAAGTCCAACCCCCTGCTCAGGCAGGTAACCATGTAGTTCCATCACCAATGCCATCTGCTCCCCAACAGTAGCATAAATATAACAAAATAAATTAAAGTAGAAAAAGATAGCAATTAACAAGAAAGAAATTTATTCAGATTTATGCGTAGAGAACTTTGCAGCACGATAATAACCACCACCAAAACCAAAGCTAAACTTGTCAAAGAACATAGATGTTTACCCATTTGACATTTAATTTTGGATTTGCCAAGTGAAAGCATAAAACAGACATCAATGGAAAGCAGATAAGGCAGCTCAGAATTTGGCCCCTTCCCATTCCATTTCCAGCATTAGCCAAGACAGACATTTTCCAATGCAAAAGCCACTGCCAGCGATACAAAATAGTCCATGCAGAGAAATACAGAGCAAAATCATCTGCAGTTGAAATTGCAATTTTGCTATTATTTACTACTATCTCAGAAAAAATATTATTTTGTAGATCAATACAAATACTATACTATTGAACATCTAAGCCTACATATAAATGGCATTTTGCTTCTTTATAATGGCTTAATTATTTTCTATAATACAATGCACGATAGGGATTAATTCTTACTGGTATTTGATGACTGAAGTTCCTTATCACCACTGTTGTCCCACTCAAGAACTGTTTCAGGATTTTTTTGCCCAGACCCTTCTTCGTCATCATCACCACCACCATCATCATCATCTTCAAAACTCTGATCTATTGATTTATTGATGTAAACTTATGGTAAGATTTTTATATTTTCATCCAGCTATTCATTTCTCTGTTGCCTATATCATTAATATGCTGTTGCTTCACTGATTGGAATAGTCAATAAGATATGAAGAATGAGTTATCTAATTTCAGTTCCATTGTGCTCTCTCTCTCTCTCTCTCTCTCTCTCTCTCTCTCTCTCTCTCTCTCTCTCTCTCTCTGTATTTCTCTCTCTCTCTCTGTGTGTGTATGTGTGTGAATTCAAAACAACAACAACAAACAAGTTCACTTTAAATGAATGATAGAATCTGGATTGTGCCCTCTGATTGTGATTTAAGGAAGGCAAAACAGGTTGTGCTAGTAAACACATACAGAATCATTTTTACTTCAGCAACTGCAACATTTCAATGAAATATGAGGTACTTAAGAAACTGTTTCAAATCACAAATGTAATCTAATTCTAACTCTTAAAAGGATCTCCCCCATAAAATTGGGGGGGGGGAGAGATTTCTTTGGAAGAACATAAGTGGAATCCGAATATGAATTTATTTGGAAAGCAGGGAATGGAATGGAATGGAATGGAATGGAAGCATTGTGTTCTCACATAAAGCTAATTAATATAGAAATAATAGCACAATAGGAACTATATTACATTCTGAGCTGACTCAAGAAACCATTCAGCGAATGCACATCTCCCAGGTTCACTGGGCTTGCTAAAGTTATGCAAAATCATAGAGCAAGGAATAAAATCTACGTATAGGCAAAGAACAAAAATTTCCTGCAACAAATCCAATCGGAAATGTACTAGCAAGTTATTAAAAAGCTGTGATCATCTTAAATGCATTAATATGATAATGTAGAATATATTTTTATTCCAAATAATTAGAGGTGATTTAATTGAATTTTCTGAATAAATTTGAATGAAACTGAACAGAATAACTTTTTTACTCTTAAATTACAATATTGAGATAATAAACTAAAAGAGTAATAAACTTAGTAATCAAAGACTCCTTCTGGTACTATTATGAAAGTTAATATTATGTACATCTTTTAAGATAACATAGTTGTCCTAAAGCTTATGCTACAAATCCCTAAATCAGTACTGAATCAAAGATACAAAAGGAGTCAACCAACAGTCAACTGAATTGACATGTTAACTGTGGAAATGCTGTCATTGATATCTGGTTGGAAAACAGGTAAATGAGTTTGCAGTATTTTTATTAAGTAAACTAACAATTCCTGATTAAGTTGCAGAAAAGAATGTTAAAGTCTTTGCAGTTCATTTACATACACACACACATGCCAGAGCAAAGTTACATTAAGTTATGGAAAGATCAGAAAGTTGATGCTCATTATAATATAAACTAAAAATTTTCTTCCTCAAAACTAATATAAATTGGGAAATGGTCAAGTGTAAGTTCTTTCCTCTCTATTTATATTCTGGTGTCTATATTTATTCTTACACTTCATTTCAATGAGTATCCATGTTGTGTATCAGTTATGAACGATATAACTTAAGAGATGCAACTGTAATTTGGTTTTCTGGGTACATGTTTCAAGGAGAAATAGGACAATATGAAAAGCAAACACTGTTCACCTTTGGCATCCTGCTCATGTATTTTGCAACCAGGTATTCATATCAAAGTATCAATACGCTTACTGCAGCCAGCTTTCTCTTGCTAAAGCCCCATGTTGCCTTTTAAATACATATTTCAATTCTTTTCTGGTAGATAGGTATTTATAACATGGGCAGCATACAAAAAGTCAACTATAAATACAACCCCCACCCCCCACCCCCCCAAATCCCCCACAATATACTGAAAGTCAGCTAAAGTCATAAAATGGCAACCAGCTGTTTCTAAAAAAAGTTTATATCAGGGGATAAGTATGTACAAACTGTTCTCTCTGTGAAGATAGAATATTTCAGAGAAACACACATTTCTTCCTCCTGATAATGCTGATCCAGCTAATCTGGGCATAGCCTGGTAGTTTTTCCAAAACGAATCTTGCTAAAAAGGGTCTGATCCTACTGAATCATATCCAGAGCATGACAATCATTTCATATTCTAGAAAGTATATGTCCAGAAAACTGCAGATTCATACTAAGACTGGATGGATTGATGTGATTGTGATCCAGAGGGAGAATAACACATTCCACAACCATTTATTGATAGCACAGTAGGTATTCAGCTGATAAAATGTGGAGGAAAACTTCCCAAATGAATGGAGAAGCACAATGCAGGACTTTAGAAATATTTTGTTTTTCCTCCAATTATACAGCACAGTTTAAATCCAGTAAGGAACCAGCTCATATGACATTTCTTTGTCATGTCAAGTTTTTTTTTTCTTTAAATTGTAACTCTTATAGAAATGGGCTGCACTGAATAGTTATAATTTACAATGCACTCAGATAAACAATATTGGTGTAGGATCTGAGGATATGAGCTTTTGACTTACAGGTTAAAAAGAAAATGTTTGCAGGGTCTTATCTGCGTGTAAATTATATGACACATTTTATTTTTAAACGTAAACTGAAAGGAAGATTTAGATTGGTCTAAAATAGGGGTAGAGGACAGGAAGACCTGGAGGAATGTTGTCCATGGGGTCGCGATGGGTCGGACACGACTTCGCAATTAACAACAACAAAAATAGGGGTAGGCAACCTTGGCTCTTTTATGACTTGTGGACTTCAACTCCCAGAATTCCTGAGCCAGCATGGCTGGCTCAGGAATTCTGGGAGTTGAAGTCCACGAGTCATAAAAGAGCCAAGGCTGCCTACCCCTGGTCTAAAACAATTAACTGTTTAGAAATTGAGTCTGTTTATTAACAAGCAATGCCCCGCACTATAATTTTAGTTGAAGCAATATGTCTTTCCATATTTTATATGCAAGAGATATGCCCATTAGCTTTTGTACATGTCAGCACATAGATTAATTCCTAAAATAGCATGCCCTTAAACCATACTTAAAGTAGTACACTCTTAAAGGAACAGTTTCATTTAGGTCCAAACAACAGACTTCTATATGACATAGCTGGTTACTTGGCTACTGGTATTACCGTTCATGTTTCTAATGCACCAATATCAGAACTATTCAAGCAGCACTCATGAAGAATATATGCCATATTTTTTCCCCAGGAAAACCAAATTTTTGGCCAGACATTTTGAAAAAAAGCAAGAAACTATGACTGACTAAAATGTTTCAAAAGTTTACCCTCGCTGGAGGTTGTATTCTGCATTCCTTTAGGTTCTTCAGGTGGCCACCATAATGGAAAATCTTCAGTGATTTGCTGATCTTGACTAGAATTTCCATGATGCTTTCCATGATTTGAATTTTCTTCAGCTGTAATGATGGCAGAATAACTATAGTGTTGAATATGTGTTGCATCTTCGATCAATAGAATGTCCTCATAGAAGATGATAAAGGGCTACTTCCTGTGGTCCTTAAACAACATTGCTGTTGTTGATTTTCAAATAATATACTCATACATATTTTATTTTGGGAGTATCCTAAGGCAAGATGGATTACACACTAACAATACAAGCATTTATGAACCCAAAATAAAGACTTGGGGGTCGGAGAGGGAATCCAAGTAATAAACATAGTAAGTTGAACTGTGTTATCTTTAAATCCAGATGTTTTGCTTCTCAAACAAGTCTAATTTCATCATGGTTATATTAAAGGATGATACGAATTTGCATTTCTATTGTCAACTCAGAAATAAAATGGGATAGCCAGCATTCTTGAATTGAAGCTTCATAATTTTGATAACGGAATTTTCAAACAGGAAGCTAGTTCAAGGATCACATTTCCACAGTTATTTTTGTTCAAATGCCAAGTCTTAGTCTTTCCTTGTGGCAATGCAAAGATAGAGAAGAGCATAATAATTTCCACCACTGTAAAGTATAGAGATGTAAATCTAATGGAGATCATTTTCAATGATAAAAAAGAAAGCAACAACAATACAAAGAACAGAAGCCCTTGAAGAGATGAAGATATCAGGAAGAAGAGGAAGAACCCACTGAAGGAAATATAGCAACTTTCTATTTTAGCACAATGGGAAGAGTGGAAGTGATGATGGTTAAGAAATGTATGTTGGAATTCCATCACATATTTTCCCTTCACAGACACAAGTGATAGCATGTTCTTTTATACAGTCTAAGAATGGAAACTCTTAATTTTCAGTTTTGAGTTTCTAAACAAAATCAGGAATGAAACTTATTTGGCATAGGGATATTTTTCTGGTTTATCTATTCAATGTAATCTTCATTATCTGCCAGTCAATCCCATAATCTGAAGTTCATACAATCGTAATTGTATCAAGTTATTTTAGAACTTTAATTTTCCTCTGTTCAATATATAACATACACGTAATTCTATTTACATGGGAGTATCAAAGCTAAAGTTCAAGTCTATTCACTCTCTTAAAAGCCACATAAATGTAGCAGTATTAATATAAGCAAAGTTCCTTCCCCAAACCAAAGTTTCTTATGTAAAATACTTCATGTGATGCAATCCTATTTTTCATGAATATACATTCTGTGCACCAACAATAGAATATTCAGTGCAATTATAATTTATAGCTAACAAAAAGTCAATTGCAAAATAGCAATCTTAAACCTGGGAAATTCCATCATATCACCCATGCATTCACCCAAATGCAGAAAAACACATACAAGCTATTGAGATATGCTTTTGACAGAATGAATCATGTGAGAGGGAGGAAGGAACCCAGAATATAACATTGCAACCAACACAGATCAATAGGATTACATTAATCCTTGATCTAGGCATAGAGCAGAAGAGTACAGAAAAAAACATTCCCATTTGCCACCACCACCTGCAATGTTTGGAAGAATTTGAAATAATAAATATTTGTCAATTCTATTTTAATGTTTTTTACTATACAACATAGACCGCCACAGAGACAAAGTTATAGGTTTTAAATAACATAGCTGCAAAATTTAACATGTAAAATTGCTTAAATTATTCCTAGGTATTTGAGAACTCAGCTTTTCCATGAATTCGAGGAATGGGTCCAGATTTTTAAAAACACGCTAGTTTAAATGGCTTTATTGGCCAGAATTTTGAGACCTGTTTCCAGCTTACCTTTTCATGAACTGATGAAAATTGGCTTCTAAGTTTGCCAACTTTCACCAGAAAGAAGTTTATGCTTCTAATCTCTGACAATTCTTGAAACAAACAGCTGCATTCAAAGTAAGCATTGCCAAAAGCAAATTCTGAAAATTTGCAATTGTAGGTAAATATCTGAAGTAATAACAAAGGTTTTCATTATAACTGCAGGATCTCTGAAAAAAATGAAGGCTGTTGCATAAATTAAACCATCTTGCTCTATAGAAAAGAACATATATACTGCTAAATATGTTTCAAAATAGAAAAAAAGATGCACTTATGAATAATTAGAAACAAATATATTGGACAGAGTGGCCATTATTTTGGAAGGAAAAAACATACATGAAAAGTTTTTCTAATGGATAGATCTCCACTAGATAGTCTCATGCCTATTTGTACGTTTTTAAACATCAGGAGTTGAAAATAATCATTAGGAAGTTGGAGATTATTGATCAATCAGTTTTATGAAGACAATAAAAAGAAGTTTATATTAATGTCACCTTGAGAATATCTTCTATTAGTTAGTCTGTTGTATAACGTAACTTCTAAATCTAAAATTACTACTGAGAAAACAGAAACTGTTGCAATATGTTAATAGTTAGCATGTATGTAAGAAGACAAACAAGAAGGAAATGATCCATTAGATTAGAACAATTCATATAAAACTGTTATTTGGATTAACATGAAATTCTCTTTGGCTTCACTTCTGAGAATCCGAATATATTAGCAGAAAAATAGAAAAGAAGCCAGTATATATGAAGAAAGGCAAGGTGAAAGCAATTGCAAGATGAAATGCCATCACAAAGCTGGAGGACAAAATCTCAAACGGAAGTTCTTCCTCTAGATATTAAATATTATCATAACACAGTAAACACTTTCTTTGCTTTATATACAGGCAGTGGTGGGATTCAAATACCTGAACAATCAGTTCTATTATGTGATGCAGGCCTGGGCCTCCGATGCCTAGAACGGACTTCTGGTGGGCCGTTCTAGTCCTGGGAGGCCTCCGATGCCTAGAACAGACTTCTGGAAGTGGCATCAAAGCACTTCCGGTGGGCCGTTCTAGGCCTCCTCCAGGCCTCCGATGCCTAGAACGGACTTCCAGAAGTAGTATCCATGCACTTTGGTGGGCCGTTCTAGGCCTGGGAGGCCTCCGAGGCCTAGATTGGACTTCCAGAAGCCAGCCAGTTCTCCGAATTCAGGTAAATTTAGTTACCGTTCTCCTGAACCGATGCGAACCGGCTCAATCCCACCACTGTATACAGATCAAATAACCATCCCTGGGTGTTTTTAATGAGCATTTTGGCTGGAGGATCCACAATGACATATCTTTCCTATATAATTGTTAGAAATGGTAAGAAAAAAAAACCAATTACTTCTTCCAAGAAGATTTACAAAAAAGACATGTCTAGACATTTATATCAGGCCAAGCCCCAAAGACAATAAATCCAGTTGAGTCCAATCTTGTATTGCTTACACCTAACGGATAGAATCTTGCCTACTGACACTCTAACCTTCTATACTAATAATATACACTGACAGATTCTGCATATCTACAGTGCGGCTACCCTAAGACTCCTCACCTTTTCTGGGACCACATTTTCTTAAATTGGACTTCTCTCTGGAATGTACTGCTTCCTCCCTGGGAAAGCTCTGTGCTGCCAAGACTCCCTTCTACTGCTTCTGCAGGTGCACATTCCATCAAAGTTTAACAGGTATTGGGGGGGGGGTGGATATTCTTAATGAATGCCAGAGATTTTAATTTTAGTCACAGTCTGTAGAGACTCTATTAGAGAAATACATCATTCAGAAATATTTCATAGAACAAAACATGGGCACAAAAGGAGCCAACCATTAGCCCATATAAAATCATCTGATCAGCCTTTACCCATGAGACTCATCCTCCCTTTTTTGGAAAGCAAATACCTAATGGCTCTACAACAGAGATATCAAATATTATGAGGTCATTATTATAACATAGCATCTGTAGCAATTACACAATATAAAAACTGAACACACTGAACCTAAACGTTCTTGTCATATAACAGAATTTTCATTTCTTCTTATTCAAGGTACTCTTTACTTTAGAAGATACAAGAGCTTAAATGTATAATTAAATGTATAATTCTAATTATAGTGTGTGTGTGTATGTACACACATACATATACATACATACATATACAGACACACACACATATAAAACCAAGTTACAACAGATACTAGTCCAATTATCACACTTACTAGGATTCTGATCTTCAGAAGGATGGTGGTAATGGGGGTCTTCACTTCCATATACTGCTGTAAATGTTGTGATATCATCCTCTGTGTCATAAAATATGAATGAGCTGTACTCTTTTCACTTAGAAACCAACCAACAACACAATTTTCAATCATAAGTCTTACAACTGTGTTTTGTATTCATGATTTTGGGGGGACCAAATACTTGCTATTTTATGACATTTTCTCTTAGCATAAATGATATTTTAGTTATAAAAAGCTTGTACCATATGCTTTCTGTGGACTATCATGCATAACTATTGTATGTACAATTACCAATGTGTCATTCAATTAGATACAGTTTTCCTAACACTTGAAAGAAATTCTCATTTTCTTTTTCCAATGATAAATGCTGCATTCAAGTTTCAGGACTCCTAATGAAGCCAGGGCTGATCAGCAGGAATCCTACTGAAGCCATATTTTCTCTTAAGCCCTTCATTTTATATATCCTATAAGTCAGACAAGGCAGGCTAACAATAAAAGCTATAAAAATAAATAGGTAATACGCACAAGAACCTGAATTTGATAAATAGAAGTTTCTTTTTATACTGGGTTAGGTGATGACACAGGAACAGTCACATGGATAATGAAAAGGGTTTTTGGCTGTTTTATTGTGTTTTGCTTTGAGCTGGGATAGCTAGAAAAAATGTATTATATTATATGTACTGCACTGTACAGTAAACCCCAAATAGATTTATGGTGTCATGTTTTATGACTCTCCTTTAAAATTTGCCACTGATTAACTGTCTTGGTGGGGAGACCTCTGAATTAGCAAAAAAATGGGATCAAGGGGTCCCGCTAGGGAGCAACATATTGTCACTTTTTTTTTCAGTCCTGCTGTAACTTTAAACAGTTACTAAATGAGGACTATCTCTAATGAAGGACTACCTGTAACGAAGAACTTTCCCCAATCTATTTCAGCTCCCAGAAGCTTCAGTAATGCTGATGCTTGCTGAGTGATTCTGAGAACTGAAGTCCACTCATCTGGAGGCAAGACGTCTATGAACTTTCCAAGGCACTATTTAAATGTCATTCTTAGAAGGCTGATCAATGCAAATACCTGGTATGAAGTCACTGGGATCTGTAGTTCCTCTGCCAATTGCAGAACCACTGCCCACACTACTGTCATCTTCAGTAACTTGTGGCCTTTCGGTGACCTTCTTTCCTTCAACATACCGTGATCCATCAGCATTGAAAATTTCTGAATGAAAAAGGACATACAGTATTTAACACTACCCTGTTGATTAAAACTAGACAAGTGGTGCAGGAAATATATAATGCAACGTGAAAACTTATTAAATCCTTACTCAAACATAAACAATATGTGAATATATCGCTCAGTTTAGATTCTGGCTGAAAAATATGAACTTAAGTGGTAGAAAGCTTCAAGCGATTAAGTTTCCCTCTCTTCCTCTGATATGGTCAGAATCAGAACATGTCTTTTTCTGGGGTTCACTGTTACATATGACATTCTGGTTAAATCTACATAATTATTCATTTATAAGGTACTTCAAAAATATATGATTTGGTCCTAACTTGTTTCAATGAGCCATAATTTTGATTAAGAGTGAACAGTATTTCAGGAATCACAATTCTGCTTCAGAAACTTAGAGATGGTGGCTGCAGGAGCCAATCTATAAATGTGTCAACATGAAAATATACGATCGGTCCAATTTTCAGTCCATTTGGGAAAGGTCTGTAAGATTCTGCCAATTAAAAAGGATTTTTTTCTGCAACAGTATGTCTAAATTATTTTGACCATTATCATGAAATAATCCCTTAATAAATCAATATCTCTGTCATACAATGATTGTGCACTTTGTATGTGTATTTACAAGAAATACTTCTTTTCTATGAAAAGTGGAACATAATATATTTTGTGCATGTAACACACAAAATGACCTTCCCTACTAGAACTATGCCAACATAACACTGTACAAAATAACATGCCACAAGGCACTATATATTGAGGTCTCTGGAATGCTTCATTTTTGTGAAACTTGTAAAGAAAAGAAGTCAATTCAATTCCTTTTCAGCATCACTTGTTGAGTTTACAATCCTATCCTATGCAAAACACCCATAACTGCAACATCAAACTATCTGTGATAAATTCTCACTAAAGACTCCCAGAGAAAAATGTCTCGCAAGTTTCTTAATTTTGCAACTGATTTCTGCTTGTAAATTAGTCTAAATAGACTTTGTTATCACTTCAAGTCAGGCTAAGTCTCACCCAAGTTTTAGTGACATATTCCACACTCTTCATGCCCTTTAGTTTCACCAGAGGAAGGGTTTATATTTTAAAAAAATGAAATTCAATCCTTACCAACACTGCTGTTATTATCAGGCAAAGCTGAATATAACTTTTTCACTGGCTCACAAACCACATCTCTTGATTCTAAAAATGGAAGACAAAATAGGAAATAAAAAAATCAACAATAACTTTTGTAAAATGAAAAAAGAAAGTGGTGAAGGCCTCCGGGGCTACAAAATGTGGGAAGCACTATGTGTTTCCTGTCATTGTATGTATGTATGTATGTATGTATGTATGTATGTATGTACGTATGTACATATATACGTATGTATGTATGTAAGTATGTAAGTATGTAATGGATCCATAAAATTCATGTGGATTATGATTTAGTTGTTTCTTTCATTGCTCCAGTTGCTTAACTACATTGGATTTTTACTGTCAGAGACAATAATGACAGAACCATTATTCAAGACCTTTCCTAACTCCATATAAACAGTAAGTAAAGTTCATGTTTTGGAACAAAAGCAGCATATGGGAGATGAATCTGTGTTGTATCTGTCACTTACATCTCCATAGTCTTTCTTCTCTGCAGACTTCTGCTATTAAAAGTCTGCAGCAGGATTGACACAGCCCGTGAGAAAACAAGCCAGCTTCAGACACATGAGGAGTGCTGCAAACTTCAACAACATATTCTATTTTTACTTTCGTTTTTGCTTGCTGAAGGCCATAATACCAAGAGTGCTACAAAGTAACTATCAGACCACAATGTCTGATATCCAACAAATCCAACAAATGTTGTTGGATTTGTTCATTTTCATGGATCATGAGGTATGCTGACCAGGAGCAAATGGTTTCTTTGTACACACTGTTCTCTCCTATCTTTATTCTATTGTGTTTCTATGTCAAATACAAGATTTTCCCAGCAGTAGAAAATATGTGACCAACCCAAAACATACCTGACGAATTGAAGCAATATGCATCGTATCGGTCAGAAAAATTTGAGGAAAGTATATAAATTCCTGTGTTGTTCGCTGCACAAAGAAAATAAGGAGTATGCCTGGGAAGTACGATTTTGTCTTCTATATAACCATATCTAGAAAAAAGGGGAAAACATTATTAAATCAATGTGTGAAACTATATAGCCAAACCATCCCAAAGAAAAAGAAATGCAAGAAAGCAAAATGGCTGTCTGAGGAAGCTTTGCAAATAGCTGAGGAAAGAAGGGAAGCAAAAGGCAAGGGAGAAAGAGAAAGATACACCCAATTGAATGCATAATTCCAGAGAATAGCTAGAAGAGATAAGAATGAACAGTGCAAAGAAATAGAAGAAAACAATAGAATAGGGAGAACCAAAGATCTCTTCAAGAAAATTGGAGATATGAAGGGAATGTTTCATACAAAGATGGGCATGATAAAGGACCAAAATAGCAGGGACCTAATAGAGGCAGAAGAGATTAAGAAGACATGGCAAAATTACACAGAACTATACAAGAACGAACTTAGCGTCCTTGATAACCACGATGGGGTGGTCACTGACCTTGAGCCAGACATCCTAGAATGTGAAGTGAAATGGGCCTTAGGAAAACTGAGCAACAACAAAGCTAGTGGAGGTGACAGTATTCCAGCTGAGCTATTCGAAATCTTAAAAGACGATGCAGTAAAAGTGCTACACTCAATTTGCCAGCAAATTTGGAAAACTCAACAGTGGCCACAGGATTGGAAAAGGTTAGTTTACATTCCAATTCCAAAGAAAGGCAGTGCCAAAGAATGTTCAAATTATCGCATCATTGCACTCATTTCACATGCAAGCAAAGTTATGTTTAAAATCCTACAAGCTAGACTCCAGCAGTATGTGGATTGAGAACTTCCAGAAGTATAGGCAGAATTTCGAAGAGGCAGAGGAATTAGAGATCAAATTGCCAACATACGCTGGATCATGGAAAAAGCTAGGGAGTTCCAGAAAAACATCTATTTCTGCTTCATTGATTATGCTAAAGCCTTTGATTGTGCAGATCACAACAAATTGTGGCAAGTTCTTAAAGAGATGGGAGTACCAGACCATTTTATTTGTCTCTTGAAAAACCTATATGCAGGTCAAGAAGCAAGAGTGAGAACTGGACACAGAATCACTGATTGGTTCAAAATTGGGAAAGGAGTCCGTCAAGGCTGTATTCTGTCGCCCTGCCTATTTAACTTATATGCAGAGCACATCATGAGAAAGGCAGGGCTAGATGAATCAAAAGTTGGAATTAAGATTGTTGGGAGAAATATCAACAACCTAAGATATGCAGATGATACCCCTCTAATGGCAGAAAATGAAGAGGAACTAAAGAGCCTGTTGATGTGGGTGAAGGAGAGTGCAAAAGTTGACTTGAAACTCAACATTAAGAAAACCAAGATCATGGCATCAGGCCCTCTCAATTCCTGGCAAATAGATGGGGAAGAAATGGAGGTAGTGACAGATTTTATCTTCCTGGGTTCCAAGATCACCTCAGATGGAGACTGCAGCCAAGAAATTAAAAGATGCTTGCTCCTGGGGAAGAAAGCTATGGCAAATCTAGATAGCATACTAAAAAGCAGAGACATCACCCTGCCAACAAAAGTACGTATAGTCAAGGCCATGGTTTTCCCAGTTGCAATGTATGGCTGTGAAAGTTGGACCATAAGAAAGGCTGAGCGACAAAGAATTGAGGCCTTTGAACTATGGTGCTGGAGAAGACTCCTGTGAGTCCCCTGGACTGCAAGGCGATCAAACTGGTCAGTCCTAGAGGAGATCAACCCTGACTGCTCTTTAGAAGGCCAGATCCTGAAGTTGAAACTCAAGTACTTTGGCCACCTAATGAGAAGGAAGGATTCACTGGAGAAGATCCTAATGCTGGGAAAGATTGAGGGCAATAGAAGAAGGGGATGACAGAGAATGAGGTGGCTGGATGGAATCACTGAAGCAGTAGGTGTGAGCTTAAATGAACTCCAGAAGATGGTAGAGGACAGGAAGGCCTGGAGGAACATTATCCATGGGATCGCGATGGGTCAGACACGACTTTGCAACTAACAATATAGCCAACATTTGCATATCAACTATATGGTGCACAGCAGGGGTGTGTGGACCGGTACCGGGCCACAGCAAGTCAGCAATTGGGCCGCACAAACAAGCAAAGCCCCATCTCCAGTCCACAGAAAAACCTCTCCTGCGTAATTAGTCCCTAGTGCCCAAAACATTGGGGACCTCTGGTTCAAAACATTACAGAAACGTAGCAACATAAAATTATGACAGAGTATAACTCTCAGTGATACAGAAAATGGAAAATGCAAGGGGTGTTATTAATTAATATAGAACCAAATGTAATAATAATAAAAACAAAGCTTAAGGAAATGAAAGAGCATATTACATTCCCATGCTGTGGTCTAACTAATTTAAAAAGTGTCCTAAAGTATTCCACTTTAAGTAATTTGAAAGGTTAACAAGATTGGGACAAGTTTTACTCCTAGGGGATGGGTGTTTCACAACATAGAGGGCTCCTTCTCTTGGTTTCTATTTTCCCAGATCTTACAGAAATGAGGAATTACAAGTAATTCTCCCTGTGATGTTAACATTGGACAGGAATGCATGATATTGAGTTGTAAAGCTATAGGTTTCATTTGTATGGCTTTTGTATTTTAAATGATTTCACAGCTTAGTAGAATGCAAACAAGACAATGAAAAAGGATTAGATATAAAAAAGAATCTACAACCATTTTGTTCCACTGATCTTCCTTAAATTTAAGAAGTACAAATTAGTACTGAGCAAAGTATCTGCAAGAATGAAGTAGCCATCTTCAAAGCACTGAAACAGCTGCCCCTCTTGGAGGCATTCAAGGTTGCTTTGAGGCTTTTCCCAGATTATTTCTGCAAGCATAATAATAATCATCATCATAATTTAAATTAGATACGATTAATAGATAATAAATAAATAAATGCATCTAGTATACATGCATAGACATTTTGTTCAGGGTAAAGTCTCAATGGAAGTGCTGTTTGGGCATGCACATGCAAAGAACCTGGGAAAAGTTGAAGAAGCTACACCAAGTCTTCTAGAACACGGAAGCTGCCTTAAAAAAATGGAAAGGTACTTTGAAAGAAGCTTTGCAAAATGCTCCTTTTGTATCCTATTTATCAATCTAGCATAAATTACATAATTGTATGCATTATTTCCTTAGTATGCTATAGCCAAGGGAACCATATTGCTGTGATTATCTCTCTCTCTCTTTTTTTTTTTAAGCAACTTTGGAGAGAATTTCTAACCGAAATCCCAAAGAACCAGAGCAGTTTAGATAGTACTGGGTCATGAGATAAGTCAGGATAGCCAATAGTGGCCTTCACTCTAAGTGCCTGCTATTCTCAGGCTCATAACAATAGTCCTATATATATTGTTTCAACTCCTCCCACCACTCTGCATATTATAACCTTGGATTCCCAAAGGGTGTATCAGAGGCCCCCAACCTTTTGGGCACCAGGGACCGGTTCTGTGGAGAGTTTTCCACGGATCAGAAGGACCATGGTTTTGTGTACTGCCTGCATCTAGCAGATGGGGCTTCCCGGTTGCTGGTATGCCACAGCCCAGTGCAGTCCATGGACCGTATCCATATACCCCTAGGGTATATGATAAATTTTCCCACATATGGGTTAGGGAATAAATATTAAAGAGACCATTAGTCTTTTTGAAATTGGACTTTTTGTATTCATTATGTGAAGAAAAACATTCTGTTCATGCATTCAGGAAAGGATAAGTACACTCTTCAGCTATTAAATAATACACTATCGCTTATTATAGAAAGAGATATATTAGGCAGTTTATGAAGTTTTATCTCTTTCAGCTCTATGATTCCATGAATCCAGAATCCCTGTCTCTCCTGATGCAGGAGACAGAACCACATTCTAGTGTATCTGCTGAATGTGGAAAAACATCCCCCCCTCTAAACATTGTGATTTTGTAATAAAAATGCTAGTGTGCAACAACAATTTATCAATACAAGGCAAGTAAAAAGTGTACTAGCCTTCTTGTTATTCTCTATTGAATGTAAGTATCTATGGAACCTCATAAGTCAAGCAAAAATATTAATATTATATACAGTTAAATGCATGTATAATTAAGTAATAAGTTACGGTAATCTTTACAACCTCACATTAACATTTCCATACTAATAGTGGATTTTATTCACATTTTTTTCATATTCATCTTCTTTTCCATTTGTGTATTTTAAATATTACAAAGGCTATCCTAACAATATTTACATTCTCAATGAATTCTGGACACATGTAGAATCACAATGTATTGTTTTCTAATTTAAAAATGTTATGATGATCTACAGAACACTGCTCTTTCTATTTTTGTTACAGAATTAGGCAAAGAGTCATCATTGAAAAGGATGTTTTTTCATGCCCAGTGGAGCTAAATAACAACCAAGCGAGCAGCACATGCAAAAGCATTCTTCTAATATGGGCAGGTTGATACAGGTAAACTAATCTGATTCCAAAAGATAAAGGGCATTTATAATGAAAACAGATTTCAATTAAACTCGGAAATACAGTGCATACTGATGAAAAAACCAACATGTTTGTATGCTGGTAGAGGGGCAAAAGTTGTTAATGAATGCTCACGTGAAGAGATTCTTATACATTTGGCTACACACAGAAACACACACGAATACCTTCCTTCTCCCTTCTCAACAAACTCAAAGCAGCTGAGTTTCTAAGAAGAGTAAATCTCCTATCCCCAAGTTCTTCCTAATTTCCTAAAATTGCAACTTCAGGAAGTCATCAGGCAACAAATTATATACAGGTAGTCCTTGACTTACAACAGTTCATTTAGTGACCATTCAAAGTTACAACAGTACTGAAAAAAGTGACTTATGACCATTTTTACAGTTACGACCCTTGTAGCATACCCATGATCATGTGATCAATGGGGAAGCCAGATTCACTTAACAACCAGGTTACTAACTTATCAACGGCAGTGATTCATTTAACAACTGTGGTAAGAAAGGTCGTAAAATGGGGCAAAACTCGCTTAACAAATGTTTCACTTAACAACAGAAATTTGAGGCTCAATTGTGGTTGTACAAGTAGAAGCCCCATCAACAGGCTGCTCAACCTTTGTCTAGGCTTATGGACAGGGTGTTCTTTTTTTAATTTGGTGTGTTCAGGGTTGAGTTGAAGGTCAAGAGCTTTGTATATATATGCACCAAACCTAGGCCTTTATGCAAAGCCAGCATATATTGGCAACTTTTTAAAGCTTTGTTTTAAAAAAAATCAGAGACATGTATAGTACATCACAACAGAAACACCCATGTTACATCGGTTCATTATATCAAATCTTCACATGGCATGTACCATATACAAAAATTTTCTGAAAAGCTTTAGTATTGAAATACTAATTTCCCACTTACATTATGCTCCTGCAATCATTTAACCTTAACACTATTTTCTTAGCTCAAAAGAAAACAAGCTATATGTAGGAGGGAGCTTGTATATAAATGTGCATTGTGAGTTGGAAAACAGTGAATCGTTACCCAAGACTGAATAATCACATAACTAAGCATGCATTCAAAAATATTGGTTTTCTCTTTCTCCCACATTGTATATTATTTTGATTCCTTCTGAAAATGGAACAGTGATATAAGTCAGGCCAAAGGTCAAACATTGCTGGCAATGATTTTCTGACATACTGATCATAATGGACATACTGGTTTTAATTTTTTTCTGTGGAATTAAGTATTTTAGAATAACTGCATTAACAGCAACCTACAAATCAAACTACTTTTTATGTTAATGAGGGTAATTACCTTACATATCACTAGATTTGTATTTATTATTAATACTTTGAGAGTACTCTCATACAAGTCTGAACAATGCATGAAATTATAGCTTAAAAATTCAGAAGCAATAGCTCGGCAACTTTCCATCAGAACATGGGGTAGGAATATTTTCTACATTATATCATTTCTCTATCATCATTGTTAGAGAGATGAATGATTAGAAATGCTGACATAGCATATATCTTATGCTATAATTTAACTTCCAGCAATTGCCAAGCGCTAGTAATAAGCAATAGTCTTTACAGGGTTGACATTGCCAGACCAGTCTTCAACCTGCCCTCTGACACAGGTATCTATGCAGGTGGGCAGGAAGACACAGAAATATTTGCAAAGCTGGTGATGAAAGCTACTATAGCACAATGACTAATATTGTACTTAGCCACAGAAGCTGGGATGTTTCAGGCTCAAACCTTGACCTGGGTGGCCTTAAAAGAAACCACTATTCTCTTACCCTCCACAACTCAGTCACTGAGGTAATTATATTAATCTACTTTGCAGGTTTGCACTAATAATTACTTTAGTAATGGCTGTAAATGTGTTTTAAAAATGACGCTCTTCAGTTGGAAGTTTGTGCATATCTCACATTAGTGACAGGGTTGAGTGAAAGAAAGAGCTTGAGGTGTCTCATCATTTCATTTTTGTAAAAAAGAAAAACTAGTTAGACAACGCTGAAAAGACAAAAAAGACCAGCAGAAGGAAGAAAGAAAGAAAGAAATAACAAAGGCTTCCAAATCAGTCCTTAAGAGTATAATAATTACACAGAGCCATCTGACTGTTACTGCTAAGATTTTCCATATGTAAATCTTCCAAGAGAAATTGCAAGTGCATACAATAGTTAAAAATAGATAATACTTCAGGCTATGTTTAATTTAAAAAGTTAGGTCTCGACTCTGAACAGTCTGAAAAAGTAAGGTGGCCTGAAGTTGGTTATAATAATTAATTGTTAAAATCAATCCAAGAAGAGAAAGCACCAGGGAAAATTAGCAAAGATAAATATATTGCACATTTAAAGAGAAAAACTGAAAAAAATGTAAAGGGTAGGTAAGGGAAACAACACATGAAAAAAAAAATCTGTATCTATTCTTTGACAGTACATTTGTGTCCATTGTATATTTGGAAAGGTTTCCTACCTACAAGTTTCAAAACCGAGGGTGTAGGCTTTTTCCATTTGGTCCCAGGTTGGGATGGTACTATTAAGTGCTTCGCAAAGCTGAACAGCTTCTTCTCTCGTAAGGCTGTAGCGTTGATTCTTCTCTACATGGAAAACACCTGCATATCTACAACTTATATTCAAATCTGTTCATCGGGGGAAAAAAACAGAAAGAAAAAAGCATTGTCATGATAAAGATAGCAAAAAGCATTACAACAAATATTTTCACAATGGCTGATTTAGAACTATTGTTTGATAAAATTATTAATTTTTTTATTTTATTAATGTATGTATGTATATATGTATGTATGTATTTATTTATTTATTAGACTTATATACCGCTTTAAGTGCAAGCACTCTCTAAGCGGTGTACACCAGTAAGCAATGTATATATATTTACATTGCCCCCAACAATCTGGGTCCTCATTTTACCTACCCCGGAAGGATGGAAGGCTGAGTCAACCTTGAGCCGGTGAGATTTGAACCGTTGACCTGCTGAACACAGTCAGCTAAAGTGGCCTGCAGTACTGCACTCTAACTGCTGCGCCACCTCGGCTCTTATTTGAATAAACGAACAAACGAACGAATAAAATTATTAAATTATTAAATCCTTGAGGTAACCAGTTTTAACCAATTCCCTGTATCAAAAGAAAAGTAATTGCTCTGACCCGGCTTTTTTTTTTTTTTTTAACAATACAATGTAATTTATCTCTGCCACAAGGTGGATTGTAATGCACAAAGGTGTCTTAGAAATGATCTTTTGTGCCATAATAAAGATTTCCATATCTTCCACCAAGACTGTCAACCCATTTGACTTGTGATACTCTTTATACGGTATGTATCTTCTACTTAATTCCCATTAGCATAACATTCCATTGGTTGGAAATTACAGATTTCCATTTATTTTGCCTATGTATGAATTTTGAATTTTATACAGATTTTAGGCATAAACCAATCATAGTATGTGATAGAAATTGATTCCAGCAGTGACTCTATATATCACTGCTATATAATAAAATTACATCATGTCAAATATGTCATGTCACCCCCAAACCAACAGCATCAGCATGGGCTCCAACAAGTACACTCATAAGCTAGGACCTTCAAGTTTTTTCCTCCAATGTGAAATATGTCATTATCAACTAGCAATATCTCACACTAGAGATTCTACACAGAAGAAATACAACAAACTTTTCACAAAAGAATTAATAACACGTTTGACATCAGGAGTCAAAACAAGGACAAAGTCATATCAGAGTATTTCAATTTTCCTCAATACTCCATAGCAGAAAAACATCAGAAAACTATTGTGAGAAACTGTTGCACTTACATACATCAAAATGTTTCAGGCAATCTCAGATCTCAACAAGCAGTAGTTTTTTTTTTTAACATATTACAACTGTTTATTGGGAAGACCTCATGTGTAACCTGCGTCTGCATAGCCAACCTATTTTCCTCTCAATTTAATTCCTACATACAGCAAGTCCAGCATCTCTGCATTTGATGAAGTGACCTGTAGTGCATGCCTTATAACGAAATTTGTTAGTGGGAAAGGTGCTACCAAAATAATTTTTAATATGGCTCTCCTCCTGTAATAGTATGTTAGGTAGGTAAAACAACCAAGTAAAAATGGAAAAAACTAGGTTTAACTGTTTTAATGCATGCTGCCATCTAAGGAAGGGAGAAGATCAACTAAGTATTTGATTATTGACTTTAAAAATACTTTTCTGCTTAACTGAAACAAAAGAAAGTTACTCCCAGGAGGAAAAACAAAACAAAACAAAACAACCTTGTGCCATTAAACACAGTTGGAACCACACGTAACAGCAAAAGTATTCATAACACAGAAACATGGAATACTACTAATATGCATATTTATGTCACTAAACAAAGGTATGGTTATTTTAAAAACATACTACCTAAAAGACCGCTCCACTCATTATAAGTCATTATTATTATTATTCAATTTTACCTATTCCAAATAACTCTGGGTGGCTTACAACATCCAAATGTACAGTTAAAACCTGACAACCTTGACTAAAGAAATCCATAAAAAACAAACAAAAAAAACTATGCATCCCAGGCATGGAAACAGATCCAGGCCTTAAGGGCCTTCTGGAATCCCAGGTAAGTGGACACAATTTGTATCTCTGGGCAGATTTTGTTCCAGAGGGTGGGGCATTGACAGAGAAAGAACACTTCCCACAAGATCTAGTCTTTTTTAGTTGACTACATAACATATGGAAGTAATTACTACCCAATCTTTTCAAAATACTTTCCATGACTTTTTTTACTCCCTCAGATGTGGGCATTTCAATTGCTAAGTGTGACAAAAAGGTAGAACTTTTGAAATGAATCATTATATACATAATCAGTGGATTTCTTTCTTTCAGTGAGTTTTACTTGCTTTTAGACCCAAATAAATTATTACTTCAGTTCCATAATATTTCTCTTTGAGACACAGCAAGCCACTGTACTAAGCAAAAAGCTGTGGTGCCTAAAGCCGAGGCACATGTAATCTGAAGTAATCCCAAAATAGCTGATTTGCACAGTCACAAAAATATGAAGTGGAATTAGGTTTTAATCTGGCAAGCATTGTTATTTGTTTCTGACATAGTTAATGAATTTTAAGATATTTATTGTAATTTGCTTATTTATTTGATTTTACTGTTAGCTACCATGAACATCCTTTTAATAGGTCAGATATAAATACATGGATTTTAGGTATTGCCAACAAATGATGAGGAACTCTATGTAGCTGAATGAGTAACTGGCAAAGGTGGAACAAGGCATTCAATCTATTCCTATGCTAAAAGAAAAACAAACATTTGTCCCACATAACTATTATAATGGCCTGGTGGAAAAAGACTAATTACTCCAACCCTTCTGTACAAACTACTATGTAAAAAGATTTTCTAAAAAAGCAAACAAAAAAAGTCTGACCTTTACTGAGTTACAAGACATTTGCATACTGTCCTTTAAAGATAAATTTCCCTGTCTCTGTAGTAACAAGAACATGCTTAGCAGACTAGTATTTTTGTGTACTTTGCTATGGAATTTGTCACTAATCATTGCTGTAGGGTTAGATATAAATTGATCATTCTTTTCAAATTAATATTCCACATTCTTTCATTTTGAAAACTGTTGTTTTCATTGGGAATAAGCCCAAAACAAGATTGCTTGTTTAGCACCCAAATGATGGAGGCTCTCTGGCTTATTAAGCTGTTCCATTAACAGTAAAAGTAATTAAACCCTAACAAATTTGGCTTATTAGCCTGACATCCAACCAGATCACTCTGTGAAACAAAGAGAAGAGAGATACAGCATGTGATAAAATAATTAAAAATCTTATTGCCAGTTTCTTTTTCAGGTCTTTCATGAAATTAGTTCTTTTCCATAATATTGGTTCTTTAATATAGGTACATAAAAATTTCAAAGATCATCAGCTAAATACATTTTTAATGATCTGTATTTCAACCTTTTTTAAGATCTGTATTTCTACCTATTATTTCCATAAAATGACAATTGTTGTTACTATAGGGAAAATATATTCACGTTACTGTGAACCTTTTTCTTCCCAGTATCTCAAGATCAGGAAGGCTATATCTGAGTGGCAGAACAAAAACTTTGAAACAGAAGAATCCAGATTGATCCCCAAGCATGGACGGACAATCATTGATAATGTCCATAATATTGCATCAAGAGTAATGTGATCTAGTAAAAGACACAACCTTATTTACTCATGTTTTAAAAAGAAATCACTGGAAAGGCACAATGGATTTATAAATAGAATATGATACATCTGAAAATCTTCCCAAATAAAATTCTGTGAATTAGATTAAATGATTGCCAGCTTGAAGCATCCAATATTGTTACCAGCTGATATTATACTGCACTGTTTATGGAAGTTTTTCTTCCTGTTGTCATTCAGATACGCAGTTACCTTTATTAGGGAATCACTGCAGTATACTGCACTGTAAAGTATAGAACGTACAGTGCAGTATACTACAGTGATTCCTTAATAAAGTTAACTGCTTATCTGAATGACAACAGGAAGAAAAACTTCCTTAAACTGAATTTACGCAAAAGATTTTGTACCATAGAGCAATGGAAGTCTTATAAATTCCAATGAAGCACTCTGCAGAATAATTACTATACTTGGACTTGAATTTACAATTTCTGCCAACAGAAATTAATCTGTAGATACACAATTCTTCAAAGAGTCTTTCAGCAGTTTTTGTAGAAATAAAACCAAGTTAATCTAAGTTTTAACTTGATTTTATCTCATATTGTAAACTGCTTAGAGACTTCAATAATCCACAGTATACAAATCCAAGTAAATGAATGAATATGTCTGACAGAATAATCAAATTAGCTAGTGGGGATCTGACTAAGACATATGATTTTCATAATACAGAATCACTACAGTATATTAAAATGTACAGAACTTTGCTCACATGTATACCAGAAAAGCAATTATCTTTATAGAACTAAAAAACAAAAATGTATTTCAAATTGATTTGTGAAGACTGCAAGCCATTTTAAGAAGGGTTGAAGGATGAAGATGGTAAAGCTTAAAAAAGCAACAGTCTACAATTGATTATGGAGGAATTTCAGAAATAGGGTTGGAAACAATCCAAACAAGAATTCGAACTGCCTGTTCTCCTCTGTGTATTCAAAACAAAAACTGCAAAACAATTGTTGAAGGAAAAGTCTTCATCCTGGTTCATCCAAGCCGGGAATAAATAAACATGGAAACTGTTTTAGAAAGAAGGTTGCAGTTTATTGAAGAGCCAGACAGAAAGCAGAGAGGAGACAAAAAAGAAAAAGGGCTGAGCACATGTGGAGTAGGTTTTTATACCCTCTGAAAGCCTTTTGTTTGGAAGTTTCCTGTTCCTGTGGCATGAACTTTGAGGCTATTTCCTGTGTCACATATTCTGACCTGAGTTTAGGTGTGCCTCTCTGGTATTCTTGATGATGATGGGTTAGTCCTATTATGTCCCATGTCAGGTGGGGTATGCAGATTTTAGGTCTTTGTCTTCTTGATCTCCTAGCTGGGGCCTTTCTGATGGTTTTCATCTGCATTTGTACAGAGCTGGCTTCTGCTTTTAAAATCCTTTTTGAGGAAATATATTTTTCTGTCCTT